AACGCTTCCGAAGTGGGTTAGGATTAGGTCAGGTTAAGTTAGGTTAGCATTGGGTTAGGTTAAGTTCGGTTAGGTTAAGATTAGGTCAGGTTACGTTAGGTTAGGTTAGCATTGGGTTAGCAGACAATAGTTCAGATCTGGATACAAGCATGAAATTTGACAGAGATACTTTTTTCAAGATTAATCACGGGCCATCTGATAATGCGTTATACATATGCAGCTTTTCATACTACACTATAGAACAGAGAAGGGTAAATGAACAACTACATGTGCCCTGATTATTGAAAGAGAAGTATAACCAACTCTTCGGACAGAAACCATATCATTATAATCACAAGAAAATCAGATACAAACCTATAACATTAAGGTACAGTACACAAACTTTATTCTTCACGGCAATAATAGCGAAATGTTGCACTGTTATGAACAAGAGCAATTGCACGAACTTGTGCATTTTCTTGCAAATGAATCTACCTAGAGCACAAGGTTTCTTGCAAGCACACTTGTTTAGTTCTTTGCACTGATCCACCAGCTGTGGGAGTTTTTGTCCACAATATTTATCATGCTCCATCATTTTCTTGCCTCCCTATTTCTTTGGATTTAGGATGTACTGTAGGCTGGCCCAAAGTGCGTTCTGCGTGGACTTCTCTTGTTGGGGAAATTGCATAAAATTCCAGTTTTTTGTATTTGTGTAAAAAAAATCCTAAAATATTTATATTGTTGGTGTCACTTGATTTGTCATAGAGCAAAATGAAAAACTTTAAAATAAGATGAAAGAGAATTTCATCAAGCGACGCCGTTGGTGCAGACAGCTGAAAAAAACCTCTGTTGTTTCAGGAAATGTATACCAAGTTTGCCAGCACGATTTCCTCCCTCTACCTCTGATAACAGGCACACTGTCAAACCCAGTGGCTGCATGGACGATGGTAAACCCTTTGGATTTACATGGACCTAAAACCGTGTGTAACCCACAGTTGTTGACGTCCCTCTTTATGCAGGTGACAGAAAGTCGCTGTAGCAATTACAATAATGTCAGTGTCATCGCAAAGCACCGCAGCTGATGCAATATTATCCTCCAGAATGGCATGCTTCAAATGGAAAAAAAATATATATACTGTATATTGAAAGAGCATTAATGAACACTGAATATAAGTAATCGTTTTCGTGCATAATGGAACATCTAGAACAACGACAAATTCTAGCGTTAGAATGTCATCTAGAGTTTGCAAAAGGAATTCACGAAGTGCTGCAATGTAATCTGAGTAGATCTTTTTCTAAATCCACAAAAAATTTCTGTGCGCGCATTATCGTTGTCTCTGTCCTGTAAATTGATGACAAACACACAAACCTCTCACGAATATTACTAGACGTGGAGAGAACTTATACGGGACTGTAATTCAATACAATAAGGAACTTACCACCTCTTTCAGTCACTGAGTCGGAAATCGTGCCCGGGTAGCCCTGGATGTGGTATATCCCGTAGGTTATGCCGCTTATCCCTGAGTTCCTGAAGGTGATGATGCCTGTTTGGAATGTCGAGCTCCTATGTAAGTAGTTCATCAGTGCTAGGCTCTCTGATCTGCACGTATACCAGGGAGGTTACTATATGCTGTACGAGTGATAAGGAAAAGCTAAAATTGGCATTAAAAGTTAAGAATTACTTGGGAAAGTTCAGGTGAATATAAAAGAGATAAAAAGAAATTATATATGGCAGCCATAGGTTTACCGACAAGAGTGTAGAGGAACAGCAGATATAATAGGAATCATGTTGTAAGATTAACAAGTGCAATAGTCTAGTCTCAGAACACCATCCTTAGCAAAATTCCACCAAAACTGAACTTAAAACTTTCCGGGCTGACAAGATTTATTAAGAGGCAGACAGATAAACACACACAAACACATCGACACATTCATATCTGGTTGACGTTGGGAAGAATCTCCTTATATAGCATTTCGATATACATGCTGAATCATTGCATATGGTGATTATACTGAATATCTATCTATCTATCTATCTATCTATCTATATGTATATGCCTAGTGTGAGCGATCACGAAGGATGGATCGAAGACCAAACATACTGTACGTACTTAGATCTAAAGCAAACGCCTTGTACTGTAATACCGTGTGTGTGTGTTCATGTTTGAGTGTGGAGGAATGTGGGAGTGTATCTTTATATTTGTGAGTACTATGTATGTGTGTAAGTGTTATGGTGTGATGACTCACCAAGAAATTAGATTTGTGGTACATCAGTTCGAGCCAGTGAACTGTATACTCAGGCAGAGGCTCGCAGCTTTCGGACTTGGTTTTGGCCAGTTGAATGATGGCTGTGCCGGTACTGGCTGACCAGCAAAACACCAGGTCTTCCGTTTCACCCACCTTCAGGTAAATTTTGGTGGCAGAAGTGGGCATGATACTGACCACCACCTTCTTCTCTCCCATCAACAACTTTTCCTCATTAAGATCGTTCTGCATAACCCAGTAGGGAGTTTCTACACGTGAGAGTAATGGTTATTATAGTCAGTCTCCTGTTAACAGTGTATATATAATATGATTTGTGTTCGATTTGAAATTATTGGTGTATTTCTCATGTTCAACATGACAAGTAAAACACGTTTTCAGGAAATTCGACGTTGATCACTCTTTTACTGAAATATATATTGACAATTGGTACCAACAATTTAATTTATATATGGCTTTACGCGCTTCAAGACCTTCGTTGTTGAACTGCGGAAATAACATTATGATAACAGCAAATGGAAAGCATATGAATATCCTCGTTTAAACAAAATTCAAGGAAGTGTTATTTACAATATTTCTGGAAAATCTTGTTAAGAGGCTATAAAATGTGTACATCTACAGCTTTGGAGAAACAAGTCTATATTACCAGGGTTTTTTTCTGAAAATAAAAGGAAGACCCGCCCACCATTCTTTGGTCTAGGCATAATCATAGAAACCCGTTAGTTTATAATATGTGTTTAACTTCCTAAAGAAATTATTTCACCAAGAAAAAACAACCGGATCATATGAAGATCCTCCCCCCCAAACCTACTTGGGGGAAGGATCTTCATATGATCAAGCCCAGTCGCGCTCATCTGAAGATCCACCCCCCCTAACCTAACCTAACCTAACCTAACCTAACCAAACCTAACCTAACCTAACCTCCCCCCCAAACCTACTTGGGGGGGAGGATCTTCATATGATCTAGCCTGGGGGGGGGAGGATCTTCAGTTGGATACTTTGGGGGGGAAGATCTTCATATGATCCAAACAACCCCTTAAAGTGAATTTAGCAACTGTTCGAACTATGGATCCTTCCACGCCGGCAGCTAGGAGTGAGACTCACCCTGGGGACAGTCCATGAAGAAGCGGTTATTATCAGGTAAATTAGATTCCGATTCGAAGGTGATCTCCTCGGGGAAACGCGTCAGACTCTTATTACTTTTCTCAGTGAGCCACGTGGTACCGTTCCTGAATTGCATCTCTATGATTCCTTTCATTACCATTATAAAAGCATGACAACATTAATAAGCAATCATATTTCCTTTGAATGGTTTAACACCATAATGCTTACCAAACATAACCTACCCACACCAATATAACGATAGGGTGTTTAAGACTCAGGCGAAGCACGGGGGAGTTTTTTATCTTCATGAGATCCATAAGTCGGTAGTCACACATAGATCAGCCAGTCATAAAATGTGATAAATTAGAATACAATTGTGCGTAACAGAGACGTAACCAATCGCCCAAGCAGCTAAGGAGCCGATCAGTGGTGAAGAGGATAAGGTAAAAGTATATAATTAAGATAAATGGCGTAATTGGTGTTTGATAGGATGAGGAAGTCCCTCTCAGCCTCTCCACCACCCCTCCCTGGTGCATCTACCACTACCTCTGGTGGGACAGTGGCCCTGTAGTGGATTCCTCCCCTACAAGCACCGAACCTTCTCGAATTCCCCAGCCTACGCCTCCAGCGCCGCCCACAGAGCAGGGGTCAACTTTCTACCCATGCCTACACCCGCCTTATAAGACCTGACACCGCTGTGACCACCCTCTTTTCTACCCAGTGCCACCTTCAAGCAACGCCATCTCCGCGCCAGCCTGGCGGCTGCCGTTCCCGCCAGCGACCTTGGCGTCCCTCAAGCCGCGTGTCCCTCCTCTGGGCACCCTCACCACCCAGCTCTATCTACTCAACGCTTATTACCATGCTACCTACCCAGCAACAAGCTGCATTGTACATCCAATACAATATGTATACAGTGAGCACATTGTGAGTTTCCTTTCTCCATCCCATCCTGAGTGTGAACCAATATCTCATACCTCCACAGCCCACTCCCCACTGGCTCTCTGCCTCATTGTTTGATTGCCTCTTACAATATTGTTTGGATAATTATACGTGCCCCAGGCTACATAATAATTATGACAAATGGATTTTACAGAATGTAATGCAAAACATATTTGGATTTGTCATTGCATAAATTTTTGTATTTTGTGTACTCTGCAAGATAACTTTTGCAGTGAGAAAGTTCACGAATGTTCTCGTTAATTTCAGTGAAATAAAAAAGAAGAAACTTCGTCAGAAGTTGGCAAGGAACAATTTCACATGAACTGTAACGTACGATAATTATCAATTATATACGAGAATTGCGAAGTTAACATACTAGCTGATACATGTTATTATCAATGTTCCTTTTTTATTTAGATATTTATAAAAAGTTTCATATAACAGGTATTGCAATAATATAATACCCTTGGGTTTAGATAGCCACTAATGTCTGCTGCGTGCTCACAGCACATGTAGCTTCCACTGAGCAGATTAGATCATGACACTCAAAAATAGAGAAATGAGAGTAAAAACATAATGTAATAAAATATAGTAATATCATTATAATGACCTACTGAGCTAACCACTGGCTAAGAGGATTAGTAAGTTGATACTGTAAGGGTGTCGGGTGTCTTGACACGACAATCTCCCGTCCTGTATGATGGTCGTGCAGGTGTACTGTACCAACAATAACAAAAATAGCGGAGCGCTCTGGTCAACTTGGGGTGAGTGAGACACACCAGCATCCCGCAACCATGTCTGACCAACTTAGTAACGTGGTGGTGGAGTTGGGTTTCATCGAGAAGGCTCCAGCATGGAAATTACGATCCAAATTCTTTCCGGCTAAGGTAGGACTAGGACAGTTTGGGATGGATGTGAGACGACTTGTCACTATAGACTAACACGTCCCATGAGGCTCACTGGACCTCAACAGGGAGATATATATTAGTCATACCTGGCTAAACCTGGTAAAACACCGGTCTTTCTCTCAATGTTATTAATAAGTTTTGCTTAAATAATAGCGTTATGTTGTGAATGCCTTTACAGTATACCTCGTATTTTCGGGGTCTGTGTACACTGATTAGGGACATTCATTAAGTTCTGTGATAACATACTATATACCATAAGACTCATAGGTAAAACTCATTTTAAGATACTTGTAGCTTCAGTTGTGCAGTAATATTGGGAAATAGGGCTCTGAAGTAGAGGGAAAAAGTGGGGTAAAATACTAAATAGAATACCAAACAAACCTTTAAAATCCTTGCCTAACCTATAAAAATCATAAATCTATAAAGCATTTACCTTTTTTTTCGGTGTAATTTTTAGTGTTCAGATGAGGGGGGATCCATGAACTCGAAAGCGATTTTTAACCTTTTTATAGGTTAGGTAAGGTTTTCAAAGGATTGTTTTGGTGTACGGTATTTTTTTTGTATTTTGCCCCACATTTTCCCTCTACTTCAAAGCCCTATTACACAACCGGATTTGGGCCGCTGGTGCACTCTGATTTGTAGCTCATAGACTCTTGTATTTTGCAGCTGCGGCCAGCAAGTGAAGTATTGCCTAATATGGTATTGAAAACTTCTTTCATGCTTCTATAAACCATATATATGGTGGAGGAATTGCTGTTTTTGTGGTAATGTATGAGAACACCGCTACTACCAGGACGTGAAATTTACTAGAATCAAATAGAACCTTGCCTAACCAACTAAAGAAACCTACCTAACCTTATCTAACTTCCTAGCCATGGGGCGGACCCCCACCATATTAAACGAAAAGTACTTATTTTGATGTCTTGTACCAATGAAAGCAACTTTGGTGAAAGCGTCATGGTGTAATTTTGTTTTTTTGTGGACGTGAGAGTACGGTCGAACTGAGCGGGTTAGTTGTAAACAAACTGAGCAGATGACAACACACGCTGACTCGGCAGATTTTTTTGAGGAATATTTACGGTAAATAAATAATTTCTTTGTGTACAAAGCTCATAAGATACATTGTTTATAAACTGACCAGGTCCAGTATGGGAAGTCCTGAGATACTACACTGTGTCATTACCTCTGTATCGTCCATTGCTGTAAAAAAAATATGAAAAAAAATATTAAAAAGTGGATTTTTATACAGAAATCAAAACATGGGTATTTTTTTTTTTAACTTTGAATTTTTGTAAACCAAACCATTCTAAATCAGACTGCCTGTACTGTATTATGTAGAGTACTGTACATCGAGGTGGATTGCAGTATGCAAAATAGCAAGGCTATTATATTTATTCCTCATTATTCATATGAGTTATGTTCCTTGAAAATCATTTGGATAGTAAACAACAGCAAATGGGAAAAATATGGTTTAGCTTCCCAACAACAAGGACACCCGATACAATGAAACCTCCTTATAACAGACTTCTCTCTCCATATAATTCAGCCACTTCACATCTTATGGACCCTCAATATAACAGACTTTTATATCTATATACAGTATGTATTTCTTTTGATGGAGATTTTGCATCTAATGGGCCCTTGATAGAACAGATTTTTTTATCATTATACTGTACAGTATGTAGTTAGTTAAATAGAATTTTTACTGTACAATACTGTATTATACGGGTAATTAATTCATGAACAACCAAAGAAACCCTACCTAACTACAGTGGTCCCTCGGTTAACGAACACAATTCGTTCCACAGTCGTTCGTTAACCAAAAATTTTGTTAACCAAATCCATTGTTTCAATGGGATATTGGGTAATTGGTTCCAGCTCACAGAAAAGTACATACAAAGTAAAAAAAAAAATGCAGCAAAGTACACTTACTTTGAGGTGTGTATGTAGAAGGTTTCTGGTTGATGATGATGATGATGGGAATTAGAAGTGGGGGTGATGGAGAAGGGAAAAGAGAAGGAAGTGGGGATGGAGGAGAAATCACCTTTCAGGGGACCCATGTTTGATGCAGTAATTTCACCAACAAAATTTTAAGTTCACTAGGTGGGTGAGTCAAGCGGCTGATGGGATCACAAAAACTAGTTCCCTGTACTGCATATATTATCAATATATTAACTAAATTTTAAAATGACTAATAATTTTAATAAAAAAAATGCAAAAATATTAAAGAGCACAACTTTCTTGATATTTACTCCACTGGAAACGAATGTAAACATAGAACAACATATTACTGAATTGGCAGACTAGCCCATCAGCTGATGCTCACAACGAAACGTGTTTGTCGTAAGGATTTCATTAATCGAAGCTTTGTTCATTAACCGAATTGAAGATCCTTATGGGAGGTAATTCGTTAATCGAACCGTTCGTTAACTGAGGGACCACTGTACTGTACAGTAATTTAGTACCTAACTACTGTATGATAATTACTAAATTAAATCAAATCCACTGTACAGCTGATACATTACCTTATCAAAGGGTGGTCAGGGACCATCTTTCAGATAAGCAAGGATCACTTTGGGAATGTGAAAATACTGGAGGTGTAAGAATAAAATTATCAGATAAATTAATTTTGGAAAGTGAACATTTAGATAACTAGGGATACCTGGACTGTAAAGAATCTGTCAATTACAAATCTGCTTTATTAAATAATATAATTTGTGAAAGATTTGAGCATGACTAATAAAATATTAAAAGTGGCATCCCCATAGTGAAGGGGTTAAAGAGGCTGACATGTAAACTACAGAAAGTTGAAATGAGAACATTTGGTGTGACGTATGTGTAATGTGACATTGGGGGATGGAAAACCTTATTCAGAGCTAAGAGGGCAGCTGGGTATTGGTCAGAAGTAAACCGAGATGGTTTGGGCATGTGGAGAGAATGGAGGAGACTGGTTGGATCAAGATATAGGTAATTTTCAATTTGAAAGGGAGGAGAGCCAAGGGTAGACCAAGAATGATATGTGGATAAGTTATAGAAAATAACCTTGAAGATAAAAAACCTGATGGGAAGATGCAAAAGACTGTACAGTACAGTACACCTTGGAGAGCTGTCATCGGCTAATCCGCTTCAGTATGGAAAATGGCTGTAAAACAGTGATGTGATGATAGCTCCAACCCTGCCACCAAGGTTGAGGGGACCTGGATTATCAACTTGTAGACTTTAACTGGTAATACAGGTGTCTGGGTCACCCAGTCCAGGTAGTTCTACAAGGGAATTTCAGGATGAAATCTTCATTTTTATTCCAGGTTGGTGGTTACCCAGCATGGTTAGCACTAAAAGATCTACCCACAAACGAAGAGCTATCATGTCGTAGATGTAGTAAAGCTCTTGTATTCCTCTGCCAACTTTATGCCCCATTCCACGACAAAGAAAACTGCTTTCACAGGTATGTGTTTTTAAATTTTATTTTACTTGGATGTACAGTTAGTAAAATAAGTATCGACCACCCCAAGGTTGGTGGAATAGAAAATGAGCAATAACAACCAACTGATGTTGATTAGTATATTCAGAGGGATTAACAAGTCAAAACTAGCTAATGTTATAGAATCGAGGGTTGTCTTGAGTACATAAACCCCCCCAGTATGCAGCTGTGTATTACAAGATCTGGCTGGCTTTTGGGTGTTATCCTGAAAGATGTTTTTGGCATATTTCATACTTCTACAATACACATATTATTATTTCAGAACAGTGTTTGTGTTTGTATGCCGTGACCCAGACTGCTGTCAAGAAAATGATGCATCAAACATTCGAGTGTTCCGCTCACAGTTGCCTCGAGAGAATGAATTCTATCCCCCTGAACCGTCCAAGGTAAAGTCTTATGAGAAATTCTGGTTTATTTACCTTTGTTGCTTACACTATTTTTCTCTCCAGAGATTTCTCGTGAAGGTGTGATTATGACAAGAAAGTCCTTAGACTACTCTGTGTAGGATGATTCCCAAACTTGGTCCCTGCTTCCCACTCTCTCAAGGGATCTTTTTCCCTTCCTTCCTTTTAGGTTGTTAGCTGCTTTCTCACTACCTAAAACCACTTTACTTGTTTACTGCCTTTGTAATTCTGTAGTTATTTCATCCATCAACTGTTGCAAGTGTGTATAATGTCTTGGCTAATTAGGTTAATGAATACTTTAACAGGCCTTTAATTTCCAGGATGTTGAACCCGGTTCTGAAAGCCCAGAAGCTGGTGATTTCAACAATTTATGCCGTATTTGTGGAGCACTTGGACCGAAGGTAAGAACTGCATCTTTGGCTCTTTGCTGCTGGAAAAACTTAGTGTGGTTTCTTTGTTGTGTAAATTGAATGTTTGATATATTTCAAGTAGATGCTATCATCCCTCTTTTAGCAGACAAGATATGTTCTTGAAGCTGGTCCACTTAGTGAAAAATCTGGTAGAAGGGGGTCATTATAACATGATGCTTGTGGAGATGGGCTCTTGCTTAACAACAAAATCAGTTGAAATAATAAATATGTAAGTAATTGCTTTTAAACACTACAATTTTCTTACAGAATGACTAAATAATGATTAATTGCACTAAAATAATTCTTAAACATTAAAAAAAAACCAGTTGGTTACTTAGAAATATGATTTTCCACTGCCGTCTTCATAAGAGAAGTAAAGTCGCAAGCAAACAGCTCCAGCGTAACAATAATAAAACAATTAAAACAGCTACATGCGATCAGTATAGGTGACAATGGTTAATTTTGTTCAATTCAAATGAAGACTTTGTTAATATCAGTAATAAATTAAATAAAAATTACGGTAATGACACTCACCAGTTAATTTTTGGGGAGCTTGTTGTGCACCTTCTCCTTCCTGGCAACGGTGGGAGGTGAGAGTCAGCAGCTACTACTGGGAAAGCGAACCAGGTTGTTGTTGTTATAATGTTATTACTCACTTCAACAATTAAGGTCTTTAAGCACATAACAAGGTTAGTAATACTGTACTCTATTACATCAACAAATAAAAATTGAGATAAAACTCTCTTTGTTAACTAGGCTGTTGCCCAACCTTCTTTACAAAGATATCATCAAGGGTTACATTCAACAGCAAAACTCTTAAGCCTTCTCCCTTTTTATTGAAATAAAACAAAGGATACAAATATGGAGACAAATATAACCTGGAATTGCTTCCTCTTCCCTTGATGAAATTCCTTGTCAGCAGAAACTGAGGAGGAAAGTTCAAGACCTAAGTTTATGGCTTACTGGTTTGGCAAACTGGTCAAGTGGCAGTTTCACAAACTAAAACAAAAGCCGCCAGATACAAGTTGTGCTGAACTTTAAAAGCTGCCGAACTATCGGATCCCGAACGACTGAGGTTCAACTTGTATTTGTTGACTCCCTAGTTTCTGGAAACAGCTGGATCAGGTTTGGAATTTGTTTCATGACTGGATTTGAGGGAGCTAGGTGTCATTTATACACAATGATCTGTTAGGCTACAGTACCTGCTGCTAGAATGAAGATGCTCTTGCCTCCTGGACAAAGTAGACTTTGTCAGGCAATGTTGTGGTGGGGTGAAGTTATAAAACTTGTCTCCTTCCCTTGGCCAGAAAATGGATTAATTTTTTTAGTTTATTATTATTATTTTTTTTAAAGACATGTGGGGGATGCAAAGTTGCACGGTACTGCTCCAAAGATCACCAAGCTCTTGACTGGAAAGCTGGACATAAGGAGGAGTGTAAAAATCCAGGTAAATAAAAAGTTTCCATAAGATTGTATTTTGTTCTTAGTTTATAAAACCTCATTATTATTATGTGAAGAATATGGTGTATTTATTAGCATCATATTAGCGGATTCTAATTTGTCAAGTATTTGTAGTTGCAGGAATTTGAAATTACAGTATGTGGTAAATACAGTAGTGTGACATTCAAGTACAGTACAGTTGGGTCTTCATTTACGCGGTCAATTGAACCCGCTGAGTACCCCGTAAAACGAGAAACACGTAAATGAAATAACAGAACATATGGGATTAATTGAAATAGAGACTGGGTCGACCCCCAAACTCCACTTTTTCCGACAATACGTACCTTGTAGTCAAAATAACATCTTAATTTTATGGTGGTATGCACACACAATTAATAATTAAGAGAAATATTAATAATATTAGGTTTTTTAACATTTACGTTAGTAGAAAAGATGGCTGGGCACACGGGGATGGGAGGTTGGTTCCGAGGCAGAGGGCAAATTATTGGCCCTCACCTGTATCACTATCCACCACATAGGCTTGCAGGGCCTCTTTGTCAAACCCCTCAAAGTCCATATCCTCACTATCACTGACTTGGGCCGGCTGTGGTGGGTGGCAGGTGAAGAACTTGGTAATGTTTTGGTGACTGGGCGACCTTGTGCGCACCCTGCCCGCACCGCTTCCCGCGTAAATCAAGCATTTCAATTCTGGCAAAGCACCGCGTAAATGACCAAACGCGTAAACCAAAACCACGTAAATCCAGACTCAACTGTAGTATCTTGGTACACTTGATACATCGTCTGGCGGTTGCTAGAATAAAATAGATAAGAAGACATCGTACCGAGGGGATTAGTTAACAAACGTTCAACCGGACTTTTTAAAAATATTTCTTGTGAAAAGAGGGGTGGTCCAGTGTATAGAGGTTCTACTATTTAATTTGATTTATGAAGATGGTTACTTGTACATCTTAAAATTAAGCTCTGGTTAAGCAGTGGAACTTAAAAGTTGTATTGTATAGGTACAAACTATCTATCAGGAGGTCTGAAATAATTCTTTGAACCTTTTGTTGTACAGTATTTCACCTTTGTCTTCTTTTTTTTCAACAACAGATACCATAAGCAAAGTTTCCTGCAAGGGAAATGCAAAATTTCTTTTCCCTGAATTTGAAATTGAATTGGAGCCAGAAGAATTAGACACTGCAAAAGAAAAGACAGAAGGAGAAGTGATGAAGGAATATGAGGAATTGCTTCGATCTGGTCGAGTGACTCATCAAAATGATGATGGTGAGGTTTTCATATTAAAAGTTAATTGATGCTTGGCATTCATCATGGATATACTGTATAAAACACTAATTTAACATTCCTTGAAGATTATCTTTTGTTATGAAAACATTCTTAGGACTACAGTATTAAAAAAAAAATCTTATAGACATACAGTATGTGGAGCAGTACTGTTAAGATTAATTCCCACAATTCAGTTTAAGATAAGAAACAGGAAGCAAAAGGAGGATATGAATAGCTCTTTGGAATTGGACAAAGAAAATGTAACATTTGAAACATGAAAAAGATACTGTATAGGATTTAGTGAATTCAGTACCTGGCAGGAATGTAATTAATAATTGAATCTAAAAGTTTGTAAGAAGTACAGGAAAGGATGTATTTTAGTATTTACATAAGTGTCCCAACAAACTTTGATGTACTATACAGTAGTATAGAAAATTTAAACAAGTTCTTATGGGTTGTTCTTAGACAATATGGTTCAAAATTTAAGGAGAGTTTAGTTACAGAAACTGGTATTGAGATATTGAAATGAAAGTAAGGGGACGAGTGGACAAAAAAGAAAGGCCAACTTAGCATTGCCCATGAGAGTATGAAGATTATTTCTTACTCAGACAGGAGGCAGTTTGTGCAAAATATCATCTACATAATGAATCTGCCAATACATGTAGCAACTGGCTCATCTACTGTGTGCACCCCTTCATCAAACTTGTACACCCTTCATGACCTAGACAATCTTACACATCTTACTTAACCCCAGGAGCTTCTCTTGCAACATATCATTCTTTCTGATACATATTCATTTTACAACGCTCCTTTTTGTTTTCCAGATTCAGACACAGAAAATGACCTTATTGATATGGCAACAAAAGAAACAGATAAGCAATTCCAGAAGTTTAGAATGCGTCTCAAAGATTATCCTGATCAAGTAAGTCATGAGTGATGGAACAAACACATTTTTAAACCCATATAATACGGTACAGTGGTCCCGCATTTGTTTTGCGGGGATTATGTTCCTGATATTATCATGAAAGAATAAAACCGCGAATACTCTTTCCGGATTTTCACTTACCATGTAATATTCAATATTATAACCTATTTGCAATCACTTGTATGGCCCTAAGGTGTTTCTAATGATCTAGTGATTTTGGTGTGTGTTCTTTTTCTCATGGCAGTCTGGATCTCGACATAGGGTTGCATTGCCACCTCAATATTCCTCTTGACTTTTAGAGATCTTTCAAGTGCGGGGTCAATTTCAACGACATGGTGGAGTGTCTTCATCATCCAAATGGGCTAGTCAGGACCTTAGGCTCTTCATCTTCCTCCTCCTGTACCCCAGCCTCTTGCATCTGGATGAGTTCTTCAAGTTCATCGTCATTGAATGCCTCTCCAGAATGCCCTAAAAGTTCTTCCACCACCTCCTCTGCTGTCAGATCAGAGAAACCCTCACCACCCACTTCCTTAGCAATTTTCACGATCTGAATCAGGTTTGGCTCTATGGTCGGAAATTCTGTGAAGACATTCACTGCTTCGGGCCACAATGCTTTCCTGCATGAGTTTACACACTAAAAAGGAGCATTCCGGATACTGGGATTCCAGATAAAAGGTTCCGGACCTGTATATCGAAACATATTTTAGGGAACCTTTAATGTCATTAAACACAACCATAATATACTAAGAAGATTTTAGACAGTTAGCCAATATTATTATCATCAATATTGCATCTCACTTATCATTGTTGTCATAATTTTAGGTAAATTCATTTACACTAAATGTGATGTTTATTGGTGTACTACTGTATTCTGTTGTAATTTTTATGTTTGTCTTTATTGCACCTATTTAAATTATATCTGTTATTGTCCAATAGAAATTACTCATCTTTACTAAGTACAGTATTCATGAAGTTTGGTTTTGTCTAAATTTTAACTGCATTGTACTTTAAGGTGGTGCGTTATGACCGTGGTCGTGAACCTCTCTGGGTATCATCTAGCAACAAACCAGTTGATGTCCCACCTTGTCCATCCTGTGGACAACCCCGACAGTTTGAATTCCAGGTGGGAATGTTAATTGATATAAATTAAATTATTAAATGAGATTCTTTGTTTATGCAAGATGACCGTTTCAAATATTTCAAGTGAGATGTGAAATTCGTGTTTTAGAGTAGCTATTGATAGATAGTTTGAGAATCAATTGGAAGTTTAGAAAATTGTCAGAGTAAAATTCGTTCAACTTAAAGAAATACTTCAGTGCATCTAATTTCAGTTTGTGTGTTTTAACAGGTGATGCCCCAGCTGTTGGTACACTTAAAAGTAGATAATTCTGGCAAGAGTATTGACTGGGGCACTGTGTTGATATATTCTTGTAAGGAGAGCTGCCAGTCCAACAGAAACTACATAGAGGAAGTTGCCTACAAACAAGACTACTCACCCATATCTCAGGTTATGAAGAATCACCCATATGGTGCAAGTTAAGAGGCTTGTCTTTGCCTTAGTTATTTGGAACAGTCTAAGTCTTATTTACACCATGATGCCTGACTATTGAACACAACTTTTCGATTTGGTCCATAAATCCTTACTTAGGCATCCTTAAATATTTACTGATTAATCACATTTCTGACACTTCTCCTAAGTTAACATGTAGACTAGCAGAGCCATGCCTTCACCTCATTGACATCTTTCTCTTTTTACTCAGGAAAGAGGGACAACTCACAGACACCTAGTATTAAAGGGGCCCAATTAACTGCTACATTAGCCTTTCCACTCTTCTCAACTCAGGATAAAATGCTTATTTTACATTTTCTTTCAATTTCCACCCACTCCTTCCTTTCCAGCAACATATCACATACAATCTACCCCAGCTATCACCTCCTATTTTTTTCTACCTAAATTACTGATGCTTTCCTTTGTATTGAATATATATTTTTTTCAACAAGAAATGCCAGACTGGAAACATTTTAAACCAACCGTCATGCCAACACGCTTCCCCAGCTGCAGTCATGGTATCACTAAGCCAGTGCTCTTCTAAGTCAAGGATGCTTGCTCATACTTTTGCAATTCCCCTCGAGTTTATCACATGGCACACTTACCATGTTCTCTAAACAATCAGCAGCCATTTTTTTTGCCTTTCCCACTGTTTAGACCTATACACCCCAACATGGCTGATTAGATTACCTCTCAAAATTACAATTTCCCTTCCACCAAACTCCACTACTACATCAACAACTTCCTCATAAAGCCTAACCTGTGGTGCATATGTATTGTTCAGATTTTTACCTACTAAGAGCACCAAACCAGAATTCTTGGATTAACTCTTTTTCACCATCAGCTTTTTCTCCACCTGTTTCTCAGCAATTGGGATCCCTACACCACTTGTCTCAGAATCACTTCACTCCCAGTAATCAACCTTGCCTTATTCTTCATAAAGAGTCTTGTACACGACAGGCATTCACCTCTCTACAGCTCAGTCTTTTGAGGACCTCACTTAATTTTGCTTGCATAATATACTATACCGTACAAATATTTAAACTTCCAACTCTAAACCCAAATGTGTGAGGTTGCTCCACTTCACATTTATTATAAACAGTGTGTGATAATTCATATGTAACAGGTTTACTTAGAATTTAGAATCACACATATATAGCAACTTAAATAATTGGAGAAAGGTGGTACTCACCAGAGCCAGATGTTCCTTACTGCTCATCACCACACAACCATACTGACACACTAGCAGACCTGATGCCTTGGCTAAAGCAGTCCTGTGGTGTTGAGGTGACCCACCACAGGGAAACCCTTCCACAAGTGATATGGCACTAAAGCTGACCACAGTATGCACTTGAGGGAGCAGCCTCTTTTGGTGCTCCCTGAGTTCAGACATTTTTACAGTACAGCATGCCCTGAAAATTCGTGGGGGTTTGGTCCTCAAAATGACCCCAAATATCATTTGGGGGGGGGGGTTACATAAAAAATAATAATAATAATCATTATTTTAAGTACATAATTTTTTTTTAGTAACACTCACCATTCCATGCTGCTGTTTGTGTAGAGCCTGTTCCTCTCTTCCCTGCCACTGATAAAGACAGGGGAGTTACAAGTGCTCCTCATCAGTGTTGAAAACATGCTCCGGCTTGGAACCCTTCTCCCTGATAATCTCTGCAAATGTTGCAAGATACTCCCTTCCTGTTACATTGTCTGTCGAGGCCGACTCACCAGTGATCCTCAAGTTGTGTAGGTTGTAGTGCTTCATGAAGTTCTCAAACCACCTTACTGGCATTAAATCCTTTCTTTGTGGTATTGCCAGCACCTTCACCACCATGGAATTGGTCATGCAGGGCCTTGTCTTTGTCATGGATAAACTTTGGCCGAGAGGGATGTGGCACTGGTTAAAGTCCTCAATCCAGATGTTAAAGGCTGTCTCCATCTTCACCATAGTTGTATCCCTAACATTAGCAGCTACTTTGGCAGAAGAGGGGCACTTAGGGCAATGGCATTACGAACCTCCCTCTATTCTTGATGTAGCAGACAGTTGACTCATTAATGCCATACTCACAGCAAAACACTGGCCACTCCTAAGTTTGTCCAGCAGTTATATCTTCTCCATGAGGGTAATGACCTTATTTTCTATCTTCGCTTGTTTGGGCACCTTCCTGTGACTGGATGAAAATGATTGAGGGCGTTTGGGAGCCATCACAAGCACGAGGAGCACAGTTGTTAAGAGAGCAGAGTAGCACACGCACAAGGCAGACAAGGGTTTATCCCCAACTGAAGTGTGTGGCCCAGCCACCTGGGACAACAGACACACCTTGCGGGACACCACAAAACTCGAGCGCTTCCCATCCCGGCTGTGAAGAGGCTGTCAACTTTAAAATAATCAAAGGCTACTAATTGTAAGGGCATGCTGTACTAGCAAGTGGAAGTGCCATCCTGTAAAATGCTCACCCACTACTCTCTGGAAAGACAGTGCACCAGGAACAAGACAAACACTGGTGTCCTAATTGTCATCAGGAAAATTTTAAGGAAGTTTAACAGCTGGTTGCCGTTCCTAACCGGAAATGGCCAATTACACATTGGACTTCCATCCACCAAATTCTCCAGTTGGCATTAGAGGGTTTAAATTTGGCTTGGATTGTTCATTTTACCAATTACTTGAAAGAGAAAATGTAAAGGGGTTTATGTACTTGTGGGGTAAATAAAAAGATATGGATATGTAACTTTGATTTTTTGAAACAATATCCAGCATCTGTATAGCAATATTATATATATATATATATTTATATATTATTATTTAGGGTACCGTAATACACAACCAATAATGTCCAACAGACTAAAAGCAAGAGGTGTCATTTCATAGAAAGGATGATGTGGAATGTTATGCAAAAGTTCAACAAATATGTTTCCCCTACAATCCTACATTTTACAAATCATCCTATTGAACTTTAATATTAAAATCACATACATGAAGTCTTTGGTTAAATAACTGAAGTACATATTTTCCTGTGATAGTCATTCAAAGCTTCTGAATATTCAATAAATAAAGATATGAACAGTGCATTCTGAAAGAAAACCTAACATCCTATTTTACCTACTGCTCTATAAAGGAGGTCTACAGAATGCTCCTATTAGGCTTTGTAAGTGTAAAAAAAGTATTTACACTTCTAAAAATGTAAAGATATAAGAATACACTGCAAAATGCAGTTCACTACATAAAATATTACAAGCTCAATTGCCTAACCATTAAAGAAGAGATTTATTTTTGCAACAAAATACAAACTAAGACATCTTAAAACAGTACAAACCCAGATAACATGAAGGTATTTTATAAGCTAAGCATACAGTATATACACTTAACTCCTCCACCTGTGATGTTTGCTTTTATTCGAGGTACACCCATTCAGTGATGTTCCTATTTTGGGCCAAACATGTATTCACACTGCAAAATCATTAGGTGGTCTTTCAGGAATGCTGCCAACTTCAGAATACTTTCCAGACACTCTCTTCACTTCCATACTCTTACCTAATACTGTACAGTATAATTTTGTTACCTGATTTGTTAACAGAATTCCCACTTCTCCACACAGTCATTTAAATTAGCACTGTTTTTTTAGGCAAATTTTAGTGTTTCTTTTGTGTGTTTTTAGATATATATGACAACTATGTTTATGTTTTTGCCATCTTATTTTGAAATTAAGGTACAACATACAGTATTTAACATACACAGTATACATTACGTGAAAGAAGTCCTCAGACATGAACACAATTCTTATTCCTTCTATACATTACATATATGTAACTAATCAGCACAACAAGTATTCTTTGTAAATTCTTGATTAATGTTGGGGTTGTTTTATTTCCCAGATATTTCAGGAACTTGACTGTTTACAAGACTCAAATATTGTAGTACTGTACTGACATTACAGTTACTTAAGGATGGTCCAGATATATGACTGACCATATATTCATCAACTTTATATGATCATAAAAGATGAAAGAGATATCCAACTCATTGAGGGTTGTAAAAAAAATGGTTTAACCAAGATGATGCAAAACTACTAGCATGTACAGTTGGCCACATAGAAAGTGAGACAATTTGTGGCCACAAATTATTTCCCTTCCTGTGTGGCCAACTTGTACACTCGCTACAGAAAGTATCTGTAAGGTGGGGTTCGACGAGTTTCAAAATGAACACCGTGACGCCTCTTGTCTCGGTAGGGTTGTCAAAATCCTTCATCCGTTGTCATACTGTCTAGCCAAAAATTTTGCAGATACTTTTTGTAGCAAGTGTACATCATGATGCTGGTATATATGATGGGCTCAGAAACCGAAGAGACCACAACGCGTTGTGGTTGCTTGAAAAATAACCAGAAGCAAGATTTTGCTAAAGGTTAGTTTGGATCGGATTGGGTTAGGTTAGGTTAGGGTGAAATCCAAGACACAAAATTTCGCTTCCTGGTTATTTTGAAAACAACCACAACGCATTGTGGTCGCTTTTCGGTTTCTGAGCCCAACATATATATATATCTTACATGCAATATTACCTAACAGCCGAAGGATTCATCAAGGTCTTTCAACCAATCTACTGCATCAATTATAAAAGTTGGTTTCTGCATTTTCTTAAAGTCTTAGGAAATTATGTGGAAAAAGAAAAGTCCCACTCTGTGTTTAACAGTTCTATGCCCTTGGTAATATGGCTGTCACCTGGGTACTGCTGCCAACCTCTTGCAAATTAATTTTTTATTTACAAATTTTTTTTTTTAATTTATTTAGGTTGTTGCACTGGTTACACTAATTTTGATATTTACAGACAGACACAACACTATATACACAAGCGGTATTTTCACAAATACTTATTTCAGAAAGTAGCACTGGAATGTCTACGTGACATGCACTCAGTATGGTAAAGGACTAGTGACTGTCTCCATGCACTGTACATGATTTTCATTTACTGTATTATCACTTCTTGTACCTGGTTTATAAACTGGGAACAGCACAAGCAAATAAAGAAAGACCTCACATAAATCTGGTTACAGTACCTACAAAACCCCTCACTTAGTAGTCTAGTGATCCAATCCCCCAGCAAGTTACTGTCACAGTGGAAATTTTATCAGAACTGCCAACTAACTGGCTTTTGCCTATTTGCCAACTGTTCCAATGCTTCCCACGATACATTCATCCAAAACTGGGAAGATAGTTTTGTCGCTCACTGTGCAAGACATTTCAATAAACCAGTACAGTAGTATTTTCAAGAGCTTTGTACAAAATAGTGTGTACAACCATAATGCACATAATGTTATAAATTTAAAATACATATAATTCCATTAGACATCCACAAATACCACTAAATAATGGCTAACTGATCAATGTACGTGGAGGGAAATTATTTAAGATGACAGGCCTAAGAAAATTAAAGGTCAGTGTGCACCCATTTTACAAGAGTACAGTTCTCCAATTTTCTTTAATATCTATCATCTAGATGGGTGTCCGTTTTAAGATCTCAGTGACCCAATGTCACAGAAGTGTTTGAGATTTCTAGAAAGCTTATAATTTTTTTTTTTTTTTTTGCTAAATTCTCCTTTTATCAACAGACCACTGAAACAGTTAAAACTTATGATTTTTATGCCTATACTTATTCACAAATTCTACCTTATTCACACCAAGAAGGTAATATTCCCAATAGAAACTCTATCAAATATCCTACGCTTCTAATGTGCAATACACAATTCATATATTCAGTCGAATTGATACCGTTTTCAAAAGTACTGTTTGATATAGAGCTAATATCTCCACTATATAGCACTGTTTAATTTTTACCTTAAACACAGGAAGCTTTGAATAATAAAAATTCTGATATAGGTTAGTAATGGTAATATCAATGTGCAAGTTGTCATACCTGGAGTACATTATATGCCCGCCCACACAGTGGTATTTTATATTTGCTCAATGGAAGAGAAAATAAAAATAACTTGACCTGCAAAACCGGGGATCCAGTTGTATAAAAACACTTGAAAATGGGTAAAAAATATTCCCTGTAAAATTGTTCACAATGCATTTTCATGAACCTAAGGCACATAAAATCCATGATGCAAGATTTGAGCTGCTGAAAAAAAAAATTAATAAGTAAATTTCACATATTTCAACTAACCGAAGATGCTCAAAGAAATCATGCAGGGAGGGAGAAAAAACTATCAAGCCATGATATGCCTGTACTGTACATTGTTGAGTGGACCAACCCGATGCACCTTGAGCACTGTTAAGTCTTATTACAATTATATGTAGCTGCAAGGCTACATTTTCCACCCATAAGGTGCTCATGCACACAAGCATTCTTTAAGTACTGTAGCACATAAATTAGGAATGACTAACATGCAATATCTTTGAAAGTTTACAGCTGATTAATGATAAATAATTCAGTTGGAAAATATTATTCACATATTATTTAGCATTACTAAATTGTCTATATGAAAAGCAGAATACTGTAAATTTAAAACCTGGAAAAATACCATAAGTAAACGTACAGTAATTATTGTGGCATTTTGGGGGCATATACTGTCCTTGTATAATGCATAACTTAAGACACTCCATAGAGCACTAACATTAATGGCACATAATGGGATTCCCTTTTTATGCCTAGATAATATTTAATAACTGTACATGAACAGTTAGGGGGTACAAACTAAATCGGTTTCAGTGAGACATTTTGGAAACTAGGACAAATTACAGGTACTGTACTTTTAAACTTTCCATTGAAGCCAAATACAGACTATTTCACAGGAGGGTTAGTCAACTTCCAATTTTGAGCACTTGTGTGTCTGCTAGACTTAATAAAATCTGAACATAAGAATATAATCAGTACACATCTAAACTGACTAGTCCCATAACCAAGTATATTTGTGTAACATTACATAAATACATTTTAAACCTAATGCACTCTGCTAGGTGGCTCGTGTAATGCTCTCACTTGACCTGCAGGCTGGAAACCCAAAACGGTAATGACTGAGAACTTATCTGAGGACTATTCCATCCCTCCCTACTGCAACCATAGGGAGGGAGATTAGAACCAGCAGCTGGCATTCAAAGCAGGTCTAAGGCTGCATTTACACCAAACGAGTTGAGTCGATTTATTAGAGTCATTTAACTCATTCCCATTCACACAGAAAGAGTCAAAACGAGTCAGGTTTGCCAACCAGTTCGGACACATATTCTCTCGCTGAACTATATGCTCTATTGTGGGTTTGGCGCCATAGGAGGAGGAGAACCCGATTGTGGATACATGAAATCAACCCCAAAAGACCAGATTTTGGTGCCTTTAGTCATTTATTCCCAGACTTGGTGAACCATCCTGACAAATTCTACAGTACAATTTCTTTAGGATGACAACTGAAAACTTGAAGAAGTTGGTGGACATGACATGATCAGAGAGAGCAGGGCACTCCCAAACTAAATTTATCAAATCATCCACTTGCATGATGTTGCTCACACCACAATGGACATGTGGTGACTGACGAAAAAATGGGTCCAGCCATACGTATATATTACATGACATAACTCGACTCGACTCGACTCTACTCTTTCGGTATGAACGGTTTCTGGAAAAATGCATATAAATTAATGTGAACTGCAATGGTGAGTCGAGACGAGTCTTGACTCAACTCGTTTGGTGTAAATGCAGCCTAATCACTGGCACAGATTTGTTGTGATTGAAGGGGCAATGACTTTCGAGACTTGTTGAAATGTGCCTTTGAACATAATCATAAAAAAAATACATCCTTTACATCATTTTAGAAAGCATAATGGTGTTTACAGAATTAGTTTGACTGCTTCTTACCTTATAATTTGAAATCTTTCAGTGAAGTAAATCCACAAGTTCACACTATGATGCGCCTCCTAAACCTGAAGTGATGAGCTGGGACTGCCCTATTATTTATGACCTGACAGGCTGACCCATGATCCCAACATTAACAATATTATTGTGTCAACCCTTGTGATTGGAAGCGGTTGGCCCCGACATCACTAGCTGTTACATCTCAGAAAAGAGGATTGATAATGACTTAAGCTGACAAGTGTTGCTGACACACAAAGTAGAACCTAGCTGACCTCACTGTCAGTATTAAATTTAAAACTATCACTGAATGTTGACATCAGACTACCTTCTTGCTCATTATGATTCTTAAATGTCAAAACATAAGTGATTTTTTTTTAATAGATGGGGGGGATTTGTTCTTCTAAATTACACAAATTGTAGAGGGGAAGGGAATGATTATATAGGATTTACCCTTATTTATATTTTCATAGGTGGGTTAAGTCCCCTAGTAGGATCTGTCTCAATGGCATTTGAAGTCATTACAGAAGTAGTTACTGTTAGGGTGGCAACCACCATCTGTGGAAGTTTCTTGTTTCTTGTGTTCCATTTTTTTCTGTATAAGGGGGGGAAGGGGAGGGGAGTAGAGAATCGTTAACCACCAATTAAGGTTGCTATGGAGAGGGTTGGAAAATTATTAGATTGGCTTCCAGCTACTATAGTCTACAGTATGCAGTAGTAGGTAGTTATCAATCAGGGACGTACTACTGCCTGGGAAGATATTGGCAGCATAATGTGTTGCCTAATGGTAGACCCTGCTGCCATATGGCATCACAAAATTGTGACCAAGTCCCAGGTTGCTGGTCTGACTTTCTGACTAATTTACACACAATTTCAGTCTCAATTGTTTCTCTTCTTTGACAACACATCATATATACCATTTCTCACTCTTCACCTGTTTTATTTTTTCCAATTCTGCATTTTACTTATGGTTCAGTTGTTTTTCACCTCCAGGCCCCGATGTAGCCCCCCCTCCCCCCAAAAAAGTGTCCTTGGCCCCTGATCTGCAGGTCCGGTACACCTATCACATGAGCCACCGAGCAATAGGCTTGAGTATAGAAATGGGTTTTCAGGATTAATCCTCCAAGTATATATACCACTTCAACCTAAAAAAATTGCAAAATTAATTAACACTATAAGTTATTAAAGGAGTCTGACCATGTCTGCTTATTTTTCCAAACTGTAAAGACAAAGTCAAATGTGAGTTTAATTTATTTCAACAAGTAGCATAAAAATCATCAACCTAGCAAAATTTAATGAACAAACTTTCATAAATAGATAAGTTATTTAATAGTAATCTTGTGAAGCAAAATCCAAGTTTCAAATGTCAGGTGATAACTACATTTATACTACAGTATAGACTGATGGAGGGATATATCCACAAGACTTCAATACAGTACAGTATACTGTACTGTATTATTATGCAGAAAAAAGTTATTCTTTACATTACATAACTGAATTTTTATTTAAGTTTTTCACTATATATTTCATAGCACTTAACAGCTGATTTAAAAATGCTAATGAATGAACTTACTGATACAAGACTGAGTCATGGGGGTAGATATTAGTCAGACTTAAAAAGAGCACTTCATTACCTATTTGCACAAAACTGGTACAATTTAAAAGTGTGATGGTTATCATTACATATGAAGTAGTTCCTGCTTGATAAAATTTATTTACATCTCCTACTCTACATATCACTGCTCTCCTCTTATTGGAAACATAAGTACTCTACTACGCATGAAGCCTAAGTCAGGCAAGTGCTCAACCACCTGCCGTACCTCTGGAACTAGCGAATGAAGAGGTGTGTTTGTCAGAGGTCCTTTGGTCAATCCACTCCCTAAAATCTGCTGTACTAGAGGGGATGGCGTGGGGGGGCTCTTGATTCGGGTACTAGCATTCTTCTCCCCGCTCTCACTGAGAAACTCTCGCTCTAGACCTGTTGATTCAAAATAAAGTTTTTTAAGTTTCATGAAGCACAATTCTTGTTAAATAAAGATGCATGTTCTCATCTTCAGATCCAATTGACTGTGTCCTTCCAAACACACTGAACCTTGGACTAAATTATTTACAAAGCTTAAGAACAATAAAATAAATTAATACACATCAACCATTAGTAATACTAATGTTTTTTCTGCAAGATCCAATCTTCTTCCAGTCTCCTAGTTTATGGCTAGCCTTACAGATAACTGATGCATATCACTATAATAATGGCAGAAAACTCTTTGTCTCTTTGATAAGCCTTAACAGCCAGGACTAGAATCACTCAACATCAAATCTATGTGGTCAAGAAAATGACATAAGGGGTTACATAAAACAATCAATATAAAGGTTTACGTGATGTATAGTACAGTATACAAAACATTAAAGACAGCACATCTCTCACACATTCACACACATTATATACACGTTCTTCCTTTTACCAATCACTTTTATGCCTTGCTCCCTCTCAGATACGAGGTCTGTCCAAAAAGAAACCAAACTTTTTAAATAGCGCGCCAACGAGCCAGCTATGTAGCAGTGACCTTGACCTTTAGTCTAACACTAGCTGCATTACACTATGTCAATTAGTCATCGAGCTACACGTGCTAGAGTGAACATGTGTTTAGTGCACTTGGCGATTTGTTGCAAGTTGAACAATGAAGGATCTTGAAGAGCAACGTGTTTGCGTGAAATTGTTTCAAATTGTGAAAAACTTTTAAGGAGACTTTTCAATGTTGCAACAGGCTTATGGGGAGGATTGTTTGAGCTGTACGCAATGGCACGTGTGGTACCAGCGTTTCGAAATGGTAAGAACATCCACCGAAGACGATCCCAAATCTGGACATCAGAGTCGCTCAAATGTAGAGGCGATGTTGATTGTCTTTTTTGATTGGAAGGGCGTCGTTCACCATGAGTTTGTTCCACGTGGTCAGATAGTCAATAAAGAGTTTTACTTGGAGGTCCTGAAGCGTTTGAGGGAGGCAGTGCGAAGGAAGAGGCCTGAGGCGTGGACTTTTTGGCGAAGCACGAGACGACAATCGTCCCCCAGCCGCCCTACTCTCCGGATTTGTCCCCTGCGGACTTTTTTTTTCCAAAAGTTGAAATCCACCCTGAAAGGTCGCCGATTCCAAACGATAGAAGAAAATTCGCTACGGGACCTGCACACCATCCCTCAAAACCCGTTCCAGAACTGGAAAAAAACGTTGGGAGCGGTGTATCAACAGTGGAGGGGAGTACTTTAAAAGAGACAAGTCTGATTAAGTTGTAAGTAAAGCAATAAATTTGTTTTTTAAAAAGTTCGGTTTCTTTTTGGACAGACCTCGTACAAGTGGGTGGTCACGATGGAGCTTAGTCCAATATTTGAGTCAATGATGACCTCCACACCTGAAGGAAACTAATTGCTGATTTAATTCTCGAAATAAATTAACAACTGCCTGTACGGAGAAAACTAAAGATAAAGCAATTGTTTTCTTACCATGAAACAGGACAAACAAAAGCATACATATGTGGAAAAGAAGGAACTGGAGCATACTTAGGTGGAAAAGAAGAAACTGGAACATACTTAGGTGGAAAAGAAGGAACTGGAGCATACTTAGGTGGAAAAGAAAGAACTGGAGCATAATTAGGTGGAAAATAAGGAACTGGAGCATGCTTAGGTGGAAAAGAAAGAACTGGAGCATACATAGGTGGAAAAGAAGGAACTGGAGCATACATAGGTGGAAAAGAAGGAACTGGAGCATACTTAGGTGGAAAAGAAAGAACTGGAGCATACATATGTGGAAAAAGGGGAACTGGAGCATACATATGTGGAAATGAAGGAACTGGAGCATACAGAGAGAGGCAGGAAGAAACAAACACAGCCTAGAGATAAAGAAGCATAGAGAACACACAATCAAGAGGAGCATAAACAGAAAGGATGGTAGGAAACAGGAGCATACGCAAGAAGGCAATGGAAGTACAGTACTGTATACACAAGAGATGTGAAAGAAGAAACAAGACACACACAAGCAAGAAAAAAGATGGAAGCATAGTAGTACCAACAGTCAAAAAGAAAAGTCAAGCATACACAAGCAGGAAAGAAGAAAGAAGCAGAGCATACACAAGCAGGAAAGAAGAAAGAAGCAGAGCATACATAAGCAGGAAAGAAGAAAGAAGCAGAGCAGACACAAGCAGGAAAGAAGCAGAGCAGACACAAGCAGGAAAGAAGCAGAGCATACACAAGCAGGAAAGAAGCAGAGCATGCACAGGCAGGAAAGAAGAAAGCAAAAGAAAGCAATATATAAGTAGGCAAGAAAATAGTGGATGGAATAAAATAGGAAAAGACTATGTTTCAAAGTTAAACAACAACAAAGGAAAAAAAAAACACAGAAAGGACAACCAAGAGAGGGTTTTCTTTAAGGAGCCTGATATAGCCCCTAACCAGCTTTAGGAGGAAGCTATGGGGTCTTCATTAAGTTACCTTGACCTGTCATTTGCCACAAAGAGCACGTAACCTAACCTGGACAAATTGCAACTACAGTAAGTTATGTCTGTAGTGTAGGTGTATTTGTTTTGATAATCATTTAGTATATTGGAATTAGTACTGAAGCATAAACAAGAAGCAAAAACAAAATAAACATTGGAATTTCCACCAATATTTGTGAATTTTGCAAAATGAGTTTTTTCTTAGCTGGTTGAATGATGCCACTTTGTACTGTTTTATCACTAATGTGATAAACTTTAAGTAAACTGGTAACATGTATTTTCTTTTAAGTAGATATTGCCTGGATCACAAGTTTTTAAAGTACTGTAATACAGTAAGTACTCGTATAGCGTCGTCCTGCTTAACGTTGTTTTGGTTCTATGTCGCTAAACTTTAGAGACCAAAAACTCGCTTAACGTCCCGGTGATCTGATACTACGTCGTTTTGCGTCGCCAGACTACATTTTACAGTGCATCACCCTCTCTTGTCTGGCTGTGCTATGCTCTCTCGGCTTGGCACGGTCTCGGTGACTCACCACCCTCCTCCTCCTCCTCTGCTCCTGCCACACTACCCCCTCCTCTGCTTCTACCCACCACACACTCGCTCTACCACCTCCGCCCATCGGTGAGTACCAATACAAACTTAGTAGTTGTATATGTATGCACTATTTTCGATAGATATGGCAATGATTTTCTGTATGTGTAATGTATTTCATGGGGCAAAGGGAGGCTCAGGATTGTAACACTCATATTTTATCCACTTCTTATGGGGAAAATTGATCCGCTTAACGTTGTTTTGTATAACGTCACATTTTTAGGAACATAACCCCGACGTTAAGCAAGGACCCCCTGTATTACACTGTCCATTAAATAATTAGCTTAAACAGGTTTACTATAAAACACACAAATATAAACTATTGTTTTTAAATTACTTGTACGTTAGTTTATTTCAATAATGTATGAAAATTAATACATCATCAATATTACTGTATGTCAAGATGTAAAGCAAAGGTTTTATGTTTCATAGCTAAACCAGCATGAAAACTGAAAATGTTTTAACTTCTGTTGTCAAATACCTGCTACTAACATGCCCTGATGAGTAAAGTATTTGGGGACAATCTTTATTCAACATTCAGGATTTATATGATACAGTAATATCAGGAAGTATCATCGTTACAAATACATTTAATAAAGGTCAAATAAGAGTTAAATTATGAGTTCCACTGAGACCACCATTTACTATATTACAGCCCTTATAGAACATCAAATGTACACTAAAAGGCAGAGTGAAAAACTAAAACTTTAGCATTGAAAAGATTAATACATTACAGTACAGTATTGTATTTCAAATTCTTTTTCCTTCAAGAAGAAAACAGTGTAACCACTTCCATTAAAGCAATTTTTACTCAAAACAAATAATGTTATAGGCCTCACATGATCAATTCATCATCACCATTTACAGCCATTTTCCAAGCTTGTGGATTAGCCATGAATATTTAATGACGGCTCTCCCAGCTGCACGGTCTCTTATCAGATTCATATCTGATGTAATTTCTTACAACCTCTCCCTATGTCATTCTTGGCTTAACCCTGGCTCTCTCTCCCTCCACATTCAGCCTCATGTATCTCCTGACCCAACTGGTCTCCTCCATTCTCTCTACATGGCCGAGATCACTCAACTTAACAAATCCTCCCTAAAGTTCTAAATAACTAGCCACCCTCTTAGCTCTGAATCGTTTCTTATCTCTCAACATCATGATACACACTACTCACTACTGTCATTTCAACTCGCTTAAGCCTACACATGGGTTATCCTCTTTAAGTGTCCATGTTTCACTGCCATACTGTATCACACTTCTCATGCCGGTTAAATATGAATTTCCTTTCCTTGCTGAGCATAAAGTGTAGCCAGAGAAAGTGATAATCTTCAGGTGATGGAATCACTTATTTGTTAACAGTGGTATCTGTCATCACCACTTCATTCTACTGATAAATCTTGTTTACTCAGAATGTACAGTACCAAACATTACCAAAACCTAACGCACTGAAAAATACCGAAGTAAATCATATTTACTCTACTGTAAAAACATCTTTACAAGAGGCAGAAAGTGCAAGTGTAGGTATAAAAACCACATCAGACAGATTTGAGGTCTGGATGTGAACCTGTACAAGGTAGCCCAGGCTTTGGCTCTTGTAATGCAAGATAGACTACATCCAAAAACCAAAAATATCTGAAAATCAAAATGAAATTGACCTCTGACCTCAAGTTTTTTTTATAAAGAATCCTCAATCCTCATCCTGTACGCAGATGACATCATTACTTTAATCATTATTTTTTACCACCACTTTCCACACTTGCTTGGTTACCTGATGGCAGCACTCCATCACTTGAATGTTTATAACATTAGTTAAACAATATATATACAGCATCTATTATGAGTCTCTATGTACCATCCTGCTTGTAATACAAGTATGATGTGAATGAGGTGAAATTATCAAATAATAAAAAAAAAGATCAATACAGCCATCACTTGCCACTGTAAAACAAGAGAAAACAAAGGACTTATGTTGGCAATATTCTAGCAGCCCTTAAATATACTGTACACTTAAACAAAACTGAGGAATTCTGAAAGTACATTAGTCATACCCCCAGTTGTCTCACACAAACTTATCCGTTTCTACAATTCCTAACTATCATTTATTATTACAGTATTAAAACAATCTAAATTATACATAACATAGCTCAAGAGGACAAATATAAAGATGATGTTGAGAGCTTGTACAGTCTCTGCATACCTCATATACAGATAAATGGCATTCATATACTGTACAGTATATACATGTTATATACAGGTGTAAATAAATTGAAACAAACCTTCAAGACCCTAACCTGTACCATGAATAAACAAATAAATTCAGACAATATTCTAATAGATAATTATCTATCCCGTTAAAATAGTCCCTGAAAATAGAATTAAGAAGTTACTGCATTATAACTAGAATATTATCACAAACAGTTTCCAACTTTGGAAATATCATATGGTAATATTCAGGTCTTGGACACACAAAGCAAGGGATGTACATGTGCAATGCAACAACTATACTTTTTACATAAATGTGTGAGAATCAACATGTGCAGAATAAATCACAAAGCTTAAAATTATTCATACCATGCAAAAAATAATAACTCAAGATATAACACTGGAAAAATATGGTAATCAGCAAGCCATCTATAAAATTAAAATGTGCACATCATGCAGTGACATCTTGGGGTCTCAGGTACAGAATTACTCACTTGCGAGCAACGCGTTAGTTGCTCCTTTACCAATACTAGTGTTCGTTAAGAGAAGGTCCAAGCCAAATAATGATGAATTATATGCTGAAATATCCAAAAAGAATTACACCAGTAAGATGTAGTTATTCAAGATATCATAAACTGCTCCCTTTCATTATTTCATTTACACAACTACTGTATTACAAACACCCACATTCATTAGAACATTAGTGGATATGACTGCTTAACACTTCCCATAACCTTAAAGCAATAAAACCAAGGTAGAAGCATTCACAGTGCACCAAAGATGAGTCGCCCGTTACAATACTAGATGTGAGAGGAGTGGCAACAAGTGCAAGAATATATATATATATATATATATATATATATATATATATATATATATATATATATATATATATATATATATATATATATATATATATATATATATATATATATATATATATATATATATATATATATATATATATATATATATATATATATATATATATATATATACTGTATATATATTGTGATTTTTAACACTGTCTGGAAAGCTTGACAAATATTTTAAAATTTCATGCTAATTCTAGTATAATATATATATATATATATATATATATAAGAATGAGCCATATGTATGTAACATGTAGGTCAGGCCAAAGCTTATATTTAGTGATTAACTGGTACTGTACAATGAATATCCTTGTACCAAAAATGATTCAGGAGTTAACAGCAGACAAAATATGGTCAAGCTGATACAATATTACGATGTGAGTAAGTACAGTACCAGGTATTCTCATAACTTGGGAGTAACATTACAGGTCAGCATTATATAATTGTAATTTATAAATATTATATTAAGCTGTAATAAACAAAGGCAGTGATTAAGCTTAAAGTACAAGTGATAGCGAGTAAAATTTGATTCTATACAGTACATCCCTTAAACACAAGCATCAAACACTGCCTATGGTATTCTGCTGATCACAGAAAGATTACATGATATTCTATTATCCAAGTCATTGAGTTATGAATAATGGTTTAAAGTTACTTTCTTCTTTAACATGTACTGTAATGTACTGTACTGTACTTGTTTTCTTTCTTGGACTAAAATATCATTCATTCAAAAGTGATTAATTATATCAAGCTAAATTTACTGCACTGAACATTATCTTATTGTTTGTACAGGTATTACCTAATCTGTTTTACTGTTCCACAATGGAAGATTGATGTGTGAAATCTCATTTTATAACCGAGGATATGCAGAGTGATCTCAAGAAACTGTACCTTCACTACAACATCATCAGCCACCCCCACCCTTCTGTCAATGCATGCCATGGACAAGGTGTTTCACATGTTAACAGCTGGTAACACGGTCCTATTGATCAGCTCCATACCCAGTGAAGTAAGACTGAAGCAATACATTGGACTGGCTTGGTCTCTACTTCAAAAGTCATCGAGGTTTCCGGTTCACTGGGCTGCAACCTTAGAATAAATTTGCCCTGGTCTCAAACCACTTGGCCATCAACACAGGATGCATGCTTTGACCTCCACAGTTCCTGCACCCTTAAAACCCATCCAAGAAAGGAGGAACATTAGGTCTTTCACCTTCACTCAGCTATAAAATGAGATTTCATGTTCCAGTTCTCTATTCCTAGCATACAGGTAGTCAATGAGTGTCTCAAAAGATTCCAAACCAACAAAGAACAGCCAAGATGATGTTTATCAGGTGAAAATATCAATAGCACCCCAAATAGGAAGCACATACAGCAGAGAACAAACTAAGGCAAAGGTCAATATGCACACCAGGGTCAACTGTTCACCATTAATCTTCATTACTTATACATTCTTTGGCAACACAGACCAGTTTCAAGTTTCTCAGGGTATTGGGTTGAGGAAATGAAAGAGCGATCGTGTTCCTCTTCTCCAGTTTAACAGCTGTTCCCCACAAGTAACGTATTGTGAATCTTAACCCAGTGGGAATAGATCTCCTCATAAAGCATCAACAGTGATTACTAAAAATGGAGGATTGACCCTAAAATTTTATTTTTCAACCAAGTCTACATTGAGCAATTCCAAACATCCAATGTCTGTTGAAATCTCAAGCTACTGACTTGTGACTGGGATCTAAAGGTAAAATCAATTTGAAAATAAGATCATCCTTTGGTAAGAAAGTACAGTAAAGTATTGTAAAAAGGGAGAAGAGGTGAGAATTTTCTTCCAAACAAATCAGTTGCTCCCATCCTTTCATATGTTTGGTACCATCAGCTATAACTTCATAAAAAACAACAATAGATGCAGCTCGCCTAAGTATCCCAAAACGAAGAGGGATGAATACTGATTTGTTCGACCACGAGTCAGTTATAAGATGACATTTCAGGATCAATCTTTATTTATGACCTTACATCAGCATGTTCAGGAGTGCATATAATACAGTATTGAGATTTTTAAGAAAATTGTCAAGATCATAATTATGGCCAAAATGGTAAGCCATAGTCTTGATCTCACTGATTTTGTTTTAAACTCAATATACTATGTACTCCTGAACCTGCTAATTAAGGATCTGCTGTCTGCAATTTGATATCTTTATAATAACTTGTCCATATGACATCTCAAAAATTTTAATTACATTTCTAACGCTAATTATTCGCCGCCTATGGATTTTTCACTTTCAATCCTGCAAATCTGAAGCTTCATTGAGCCTGCTCTTCAAGTACCCATTGGACTAGACATTCATATTATTTTTTCAAAACTGGTTCACTAGGTAAGGAATTGATTTGCAGCATATTCACACAATGGTGTAACTTGCTATTAGAATTGTCAAGCCTCCTGACCGAAGTAGACACTGGCATGGGACATTCTAGTGTAGGTCACTCATTGAAAACCCAGAGACTTATGGCCTGTACAATATATCACTCAAACCAAACTACAGTATTAGTAAATGACTGAACTGTTTATAGAAGCAGTTATTTTACTTTGAGGACAAGTCTCAAAAAACTTTGGGTTGACAACGTTTAAACAGAAACATCTCATAATGATGGTTTGTTACAAGAGCCAAATGATCCAGAAAAGGGAGTACAGGTATCCCACTTGTGATATCATACTGGTGAGAAACAGGATTTTTGGGTTTTGTTGTCATGAAGACAAAGTATTGTTCACAGAAGACAATTAAAAAAGACTGGCAAAACACTATATTTCATCAGTGACGGCAATGTGAGAAATGTTAGGCTGCAAAGGAAGCTTCCACCAGATATGGGGTCTATTACTGGGTTTCTATTACTATTACAGTATAGTCTGCATTTACGCGGTCAATTGAGCCCGTGGAGGTCCGCGTAAAACGAGAAACGTGTAAACAAAATAACAGAACATATGGGATTTATTGAAATAGAGACTGGGCCGACTCCCAAACTCCACTTTTTCCGACACAATACGTACCTTGTAGTCAAAATAACATCTTAATTTTATGATGGTATACACACACAATTAATATTTAAGAGAAATATCAATAATATTAGGTTTTTTAACACTTACGTCAGTAGAAAAGATGGCTGGGCACACGGGGATGGGGGGTTGGTTCCGAGGCAGAGGGCAGATTATTGGCCTTCACCTGTATCACTTGTATCACTATCCACCACAGAGGCTTGCAGGGCCTCTTTGTCAAACCCCTCAAAGTCCATATCCTCACTATCACTGACTTGGGCCGGCTGTGGTGGGTGGCAGGTGAAGAACTTGGTAATGTTTTGATGACTGGGCGTCCTTGTGCGCACCCTGCCCGAGCCGCTTCCCGCGTAAATGATGAAATTTACCGCGTAATTAAAACATTTCATTCTGGCAAGGCACCACGTAAATGACCAAACGCGTAAACAAAAACCGCGTAAATCCAGACTATACCTTTTAATTTTGCTTTATTATATTAATATTACTCTAGTTATCATCTATAACTATTACTTGGTCATCTATTAATACCACTTTTGGTCACGAACAATACACAGCCAGTCACCACACTTGGAGCCTGCAGGGATTTGTAATGTGTTACAAACTAGCATGTTATGGTTGGGTTTTGTCATTCCTTGTTAAAGTAAACTCTTGAATAACACCAGCAATTCAGTAATTATGAGAAAATTTTGGACAACCTAAGAGTTAAAGAAACATCTCTGTAATAGAAAAGTAATAAACTATTATCTATTATTTTGCCTTCTGATTACTATTAATATTACAGCCAAAAATTTTTGATACAGTATTACTATTGCTTTAAAAGCCCTGTAATAATCATTACTTTTACCCCAGGTCTGGCTTCCACATCACACTAATAAAAGTATGGAGTATTGTACAGTAGGTACTGTAACAGGCTTCATAACTTATTTTTATTTAATATTTTAACAATTTAATATTTGTTGTCAAAAGACAAATAAAACAGAAAAAAAGGAATTCTGCTGTACAGTACTGACTGTACTTTACATAAAATCCAACTTTTGCTATGTAAGTATAAACTTCATCTACTATACTTGTACAGTACTGGCTTTATAAACAGTACTTGTATAAGATTTGTTGCACTTAGCTACTTGGGTATGCTAAATGTAAATTATGTTATCTAGTAGGCAGGCTCACTTCACCATATATATAAATGCTGTACTGTACATGGCCATACAATCGAATCAATTTCCATATACCGTATTTCAAATTTCCATCTTAACAAATATCCGGTTCACAAGCCATATTTAGACAATATAGTATGTGTATGACTTTTTAAAATGTCATGGCACTATCCCTTACATGAACTGTGCAAAGAAAAACAAATTTAAGTCAAGAAGAATGTTCTCACCTGGTACTTCCAGAGGATTGGTCAGACCACTAGACGTCCAGTCAAACTTGGCGGGAGGGATCTGTTCCTGAAAATCAATAATCCAATTTATGACAAATGTCTGAGAACACAGATAATCCCCACCAAGTACACAAGTTACATTCAGGAGTTTCCCAGGGTTGGCAAAGACTGAGCCAAGTAATTAAGATACTGGGTTTGGGAAGTGACCCCTGAGAGACATACACAACGTTGTATAATGTATGGCTCAGGGTTAAAAATATGTACAGGGTGTATGCTGTATCTAAAAAAAGTTTACTGTATGTATTGTATAAAAATACTGTACATACTATACAGTACTGTACACTTGTTCAGAAAACTTATAATAAAACAATATAATGGAGCAGTACCCCGATGCCAAATACCTGGCCCTGATGCTCTCCCTAGCAACACAAACATGTGTATGAAAGATTTTATTCCCTATAAGGACTTCCTACACAAATATGTGTAAGAACAATATATTTCCAAACATGTTTGCTTTATGAAGAGATCATAAGTGTAAGGGCAGAGACCATACCTGTAAGAGCAGGGCTTATCAGAGTAGGTATATGTCTGCTTCACATGTCCGGCAGCTGCCCTTCTCAGTTACCCTAAAGTATGAGCACTTACGATGTGTGGATGTAATGTGTGTGTTTATTTATACTATTTTACCTATTTTATTTTGCTTTAATGAACTGATTTATCCTCACACTTTATTTAAACTTATATTATAAAGAAAAATTTTGATGGCACAGTAATAAATAAAATATTCAAAATGTTATACATCACAATTTCTCAAATAAATATTTATTTTACAGAAAAGAAATATGTACAAACAGACCTGGATTTACAAAAGGGTTCTCTTCCTGAAAACCTTACATAAATAAATTTTTTTTGTAAATCAAAGCAATGTACTGTATATATATATATATTTTTTTTTTTTTTTAGGTTTAGCACCGGCACCAAAATAATTTAAATTACATTTACCAGTGATTTTGGATACGGGGGCACAATAAAATAAAATTATCTCGACTTGGTCAGTCGGTCACGTCTCTGTTATACTATTGGCAAGTACGGGTTATTGAACGTATCTGTACCTACACCAGTGTTGATCAAGTCTGGTCCTGAATGAACTCATCCTAATCTTGTGTAATTGGAACATGATTTAAAGCCATGATAAAAAAAAACAAGTTTTAAATCAAATTGATTTAAACCAGCCAACCCTGATTATTTTAGCATATTTTCACTATTGTTTATGAAAAAATTTGGACAGTGGACATTTTCCCCCTTGTAACTTCACTATATTCACTCAAATTGAAAAAAATTGCCTTTTTTTTGTAAATGAATTTTTAGTAGATATCAAATCCCCATAAATAAGGGTCTGCTTGTACAGTATATAATATTCTAGGTGACTTACCATAATTTCCTTTATTTTGGGAAAATGTTGTTTATATATTATTTTATAATTAATATTATATAGAGTTTTGAGCCATAGTGACTCGGTGAGCGGGGTGGGTGGCTACAGCTCGACTATAAGGGAGGTGGGTGCCGCCCCAGCCCTCTGAACCTGAGTGTTAGTGATGACTATAGCCAGGACAGCAACATAGTATATACAGTGCTGCACTGTGACATGAAGGATGAAAAAGCAAAGTGATAAAGGTGATTTAAAGTGGTTAGAGTAGGAAGAGGACCTGGGCGTGGTAGATGATAGCAACACAAACAAGCTGAAGTGAACAATACGAACCACTTGATAGACCTGATCCAGCGAACTTTCCTGCTGCTCTGGGCTAGAAATCTCCTTTGTGGCCGTGGAAACCTGCGGATACTTAAAACTAAATACCGTGGTTGGTATAACAGTGAAGGAAATATAAAACACTACAGTTAAATCCACAGCTGACGAGGGATTACTGCACAGTTTGCCAGATAACATTCTGAACATCACCTTTTTTTTCCAGTCACATACTGCCTTCCTTACAACACTTTCCCACACACCACAGCTCATCTACTCACTATATTCTTGACCTTTAACCATTACAAACAATCCTTCAATGTAACTTTCATAGTAGGCCTCTGAAAGCTACTGATGGCTGTTTTCAGATATCTGAGATCCACCAGAAGGAGCAATAACAAGTAGCCTTGTGGTATGTTCAATGTATACCCCCATGTCATGCCATGAACATAATAATAATAATAATAATAATAATAGTAGTAGTAGGAGTAATAATAATAATAATAATAATAATAATAATAATAATAATAATAATAATAATAGTAGTAGTAGTAGGAGTAATAATAATAATAATAATAATAATAATAATAATAATAATAATAATAATAACAATAATAATAATAATAGTAGTAGTAGTAGGAGTAATAATAATAATAATAATAATAATAATAATAATAACAATAATAATAATAAAAGTAGTACTGTACAGTAGTAGTAGTAGTAGTAATGATAATAATAATAATAATACAGTAATAATAATAATACAGTTATGAGAATACTTATAAAAATAATAATAATAACTAATAATAATTATAAACACTTGACAATTGTGTCCAAGTTTCAGATTCCTAGTTCAAAATGTTCCCGAGATATTGCCTTGACAAGCAAGGCAACAGAAAAGGAAGCAAACAAGTAAACAGAGCACCCAGCGAGCACCCCTCCTTTCAGAGCTCGTATCCTCGAGGCACACGAGGACAGAATGGGAAGGGGGTATTATAATCAACAAAAGACTGTACAGTAGATAGTAGATAATGAAGTGGGCAATGAGTTAGACATCAAGGGTTGAGGAAAGTGAAAGATGGGAAAAGTGAGGAATTTGAGATAGCAGGGTTCAATAATGGCCTTGAGCTCCTTCTATTTATCATGGCACTGGAGATACTATCACAGGATTTTAGGACTGGTCCTTCCTGGAATAGTCAAATTAGTTATGTGGGTGAAGGACCCATGGTGGAAAGTGGATAATGGTCATGTGTTGTCTGTAAGAAAGGGGATAGCAGAAAATCCATAATTTGCAGTGGGCGTGGAAGGTGGGTACACAAGAGGTGCTGTGGTGTAGATGGCATACTGCAGGACTTGATATGTGCCAGTAATTATATGACCTCATTAAGACTTGAGAAACCCAACACTAGATATATCCCTGGATGTGTCACTGAGTTCTGCTACCTGGGTGACTTAATCACTGCAGGAGAGGGTGCTGAAGCTAGTGCAGTGACCAGTCAGAAGTGGCTGGATGAAGTTTAAAGAGCTACTTTCTTGAAGAAAAAAAAATGTATATGAGGTAGCAAATGTTATGTGAAATAAATAGCAAAACAAATCAATTATAAAAGTACTGTACAGTATTTAGATAATAAATAATAATGTACCTACACCATCTATTTCACAAATCATTTACTACCCCATACATTATTCTTTTCAAGAAAGCAGCTAAAACCATTAATGTTACTGAAAGTGAACCATCAAGCCTTCAAGATCCTGTGGCAGGACCATCAACCAGCAGTGCACCATCATATCATAGGATCCTGTGTGTTAACAATCAGCCACTACCTCAATTCTTTGGTTTAACTTGACCAATATTAACTTCATCAGATATAGAAACACAATAATAATATTTCATCAATACCGTACAAATAAATATAAATAAAGACAATTAAAGTATTGGGTAAACATGTCCATTTAACTCAATTTTAAGGAAATTTGTACTTCTAAAAAGACTATACTGTACTGTACAAGTATTTAATTTTAAATTTTAAGTACAGTTCATATAAATTGATATTTTCTTTATTTTGTTATTTAATAAAACAAAAATTCAATGGATTTTCTAAGAATGTCAGGAAGCAAAACTGGAAAATGCTCACAACTGATCCAATCTTGGTCCTAAAGATCCTGATTTTGAGGTTAATACTTGTGGTCCATTGTTTCATATGCTTGTTGTGTGTTGTTTATGATGGAGCCACCTCCACCTAATGTTGGTTCATGTGTGAGGAGGATTGTTTTAGGATGCATGTGTGCTAATGGTGGTTTTCCGAAGGTTCATACCGTTTTTTTTCTTCTTCTTTTTTGAGAATTAGGTTGTCTACAGTGTTTATCCATTTTGTTGTACACTGTACAGCTCCTCCCCGACTTACGACGGGGTTAGGGACCCAAATCCAGGTCGTAAGTCGAAAATGTTTAAATAATACATAGAAAATCTAAAATGGGTGTCTCTCTTTCTTCTCAGCACCACAAAACTTTCACTTTTAAGCTTGCCAGCCATTTTAAAGTGAATTACAAACGAAAATTTTGTCTGTGTACTGACGTTGGGACTCGAAATACGTAATTTGACAAAATTTTGGTACGACTGAGGCAGGTCGTAAGTGCTGGCGGTCGTAAGTCGAGTAGGTTGTAAGTCGGGCAAGAGTGTATTTGGGTTTTCATTTGGTTATTATGGAAGAATTAAATTTCTTATGTTTGCTATGCCTGCTAATGTTTGTCAAGATTTTTTTTTTCCTCCCACTAAGTTTTTGGTTTGATTTATGGAGTGAAAATGTATAGTGAAATTTGTGTCCAACAGGGAAGTTGCTTACTTAAATCTTGTGTTCTTTAAGGGTGTAGTGCTCCACTTGAATTCAAGATTGTACTCTGAATGTGAAGTTGTGTCCTATATTGAGAGTGAATTGGGCCTACCGGTACTCAGAGGACTTAGAGAAAGCTGGAGAAGGAAAGTTTCATAAGAGTGGCACAGACACTCTGAGTGAGGCGAGACTGATGGAAGATATTACCTGGTCTACATCCACAACTTCTATACAACCAGCTTATGCCCCTTATATTTCTCCCCATCTCCCTGCAAGGCTCAAGTCCCCTGAATAGTCTTGAGTACTGCAGGATGCTGACCCGTACATGTTAATTGATCTTAACACCGAAAACTCTCATAATTGTAAAATTGCCACAAACCTCTGAGCTGCCGTCTTTCACAGCTGAGACTGCAACTGGCACTTCTTCTTTCAACTTTGGAGGAATTACAGAGGCAGTGGCAGGGGGAGTTGTTGGTTCTCTACTACACCCATTATAACCTACTGAAGGTCCTCCAGTGCCTTCTGTTGGCTTTGCAGGAGTGAGTGGGGAGAAGCTGAGTGTTTGGGCAAATAGTGGAACAGATGAACTCCATTTCTGCCCAAACAGCTGTAGGAAGAGAACTGTGATGAAAAAGTAGGTACTTAAAAAATCCTTCTGCAGGTATAACAGTTTGGCACAGTGGATCACATACCTAAAAATAGAAATTATGAAAATGGCCAAAATCAAACTACTGCACAAGGCATACCGGGTGAGACAGGGTGAAGAGGTGTTTTCCAAACAGAAAGGAGTGGAGTTCAACAATATGACATGACATCTGATAATGATAACTAAGATATAAACTAAAAAGGTGAAGAGAATGTAAGAAAATGAAGCAAAATTAAACCAGACAGTGTTTAAGCTGGGAAGAGTAATATTCACAAATAGCAAAATAGGAAAACTGCACACCTAATATAAGCAGTACATATATCATGCAGAGAAAGTGATTTATGCAGAGTTCAGTGGATTAGTACATATGGTAGAGGAAGAACTTTGAATGGCTTATTTAGAAATATTGTAGAGGACGGATTCATTTCTCAACCTAAAGAATACCTTCAGTTACCATATACGGTTAATCATCAGAGACCTCCAAACTTCCATAATTCTATAAATCCTTTTTTGTTACACAACGCAAGGTGTCATCTTCAACAACCAGCGAACATATCACAATTATACAGTTATACTGTATATTCTTCTGACCATTCCATACCACTTATACTCCTTGCTTTACTTCAGCAAAGATAGAATGCCCATTATTCCAAATTATGGAGGTTTTATTGTATATAAAATATACAGTACGTACTGTATATATAAGCATTGCTGAGGAATTATGAAATTAGCAGATTCAGCATTTGTGAACTACTGTAGACTGTACATCCAATAGAAAACATGGGAATGCAAACTAGCCCCCTTCAAACCCCCTATTGCCCACATACTGGACATACATACACACATATAAAATGTACAAGATATTGCACTCTGGACAATTTTATGTCAAGTACAGTCATCAGTGAATGAAATGCCATTCTGTATACTACTAAATTCTTTATTTACAACTCAAAAGGAAATTTGCTAATGTATTTCCAATCCTGTACTTTGTCCCAGGTTGACTGTGTGGGCTATACTGTACCAGTACAGTACTACATGCATGTCTAGGATGAACAAAATGGTTGTGATGGTAAATCTATACAGTACTGTATACATAAAATACATTGTGTGTGTTCCTTATGCATTTGCACAGTTTTGAAGACAAAGCTCAAATTTAGCAGGGAGGTGCGATTGGCCACGTACTGTACCCTGTCCCTCCACCTGGATGAAGCTGGGTAACTCAACTAGTATGGTGTATGTTCATATTAAAATTTAATACAGTATCTGGGGGGAGGGGTTATATTGAAAATAATAAGTTGTACAATACACGTGTCTCTACCTTCCAAACAGAGCATAATTTTATATAAAAATACTTTAATACCTAGTGGGTTACTATAGTATTCCCTCACCAATTGCAGTAGTTATGTAAGGGGCTTGAGGAAGTGATCCCCAGAAACACACTTAAAGTCCTACAGTGTACAACTCAAGAGTGTATGATAAACTTAAAAATTTTTTATTGCTCTGTATAAAAATATTTACAGTGCACTGTTCTGGTATCAGAAAAAAAAAAAAAAAGTTTCCTGGAGCAGTCCCCCAACAGCGTGCACATGGTCTTGATGCTCTTCCCAACAACACTCCCCTCCTTAACAACAAGAATGTGTCCAAGATTTTCATTCGCAGATGTGTTATGAACAATATATTTCCCCAAACTCACTTTTTTTTTACATAAGATCATACACGTAAGAGCAGAGAGCATACATGCAAAAACTGGGCCTATCAGAATAGGTTCAACTGTGCTTGATACATTTGGTAGCTGAATTATTCTCAAACTGGTACTTTTATTTATGCTTACTTTATAATGAATATTTTTAATGGCATAGAAAAAATAATGTACACAATACAGTAACAGGTATATCAATACTTTTTAATCCAAATGTGGAGAAAGAAGTATACAGTAATACCAAGAGAACATGACATAAGCTCAGTGGTGAATGATTGAACATACAGTACAGGTACCAGACACATAGTCAGATTACTTAATACCTTCTAGTCATTTTTGGTTGATTGGTATTGAACCAAAATACCAGTTTAAACAATACAGTATACTGTACTGTACAGTAGATGCCACAGGAGGTGGATAAGGTTTACTGCCTGGCTACAGTACAGTATTTGCATCAGGTTTTCTCCCACTTCAAAATGCTTTATCACATCTAAATTCACATCCAATGTTTTGGCTTTCCATTCTCTTTTGGCACTTTTCTGACCTGTTTCACTTTAGAGAAACTTTTCCCAGATATACTGTACTGCTCTCTTATTTAGTGGTGATATTATGAGATCAGTACAGTAGTCAGAAGAAGACCGTGCCACTGGAGACTAATATAAGCAGGCAGTCCCTGATTTACTAAGATTCAGTTTAAAAAAATCTGAAGTTATGAAAAAAATTATTGTCCCTTCTTTGATTTACGTTTGAAAAATCTGAAGGTACAGTTCATAAATTTCTTTTCACTTTATCTAAAGTATGCATAAAACAATGTTCTTATATTTTGTTATTTTTGTTTCTGAAGTAAGACAAATGTTCAACCGAGTTTGTGTGACTGGAAGCAGAATTTGACACACCCTACTGATAGGCCTATGGTAACACATGAATGACCCTTGAAAGAAGACTTCAACTTGACCAAGGGAAGAAAAGTCTGGTTTTCAAGTATCCAATTTTCTGAGATCTGTATTCAAGGGTCTGTATTGGTACATTTAATTTACACTTTGATGGGGGTAAGGAAGCAGGTGGCTTGTTTTAATCCCCATGTGCTTGATGATTTTGTCCTTCATTGTCCAGTGTAAAATAACCTTTACACACCATTGTATTATTTATGTTCAACACAAATATACTGGACTAAAAAAATACATGTAAACATGCAAATAAATATGCTACTCTCCCCTCCAACACACCTGTATTAAAAAAAAATTATAAGAGAAAGTGTAAGTTAAAATATTTGTTCAATACAAAACCACCATGGAACACATTAAGTTACTGTATTCAAATATAAACCAAATCTATTCAGCAATTAGTAACCTGATGTACAGGCATAACTCTAATAAACACTCTAGATGTGTTCCTGGATGATGGAGTCCTATAATAAACAGCTCTATATGAGGTCAGTATAACATGGTTCCAATGGAGGCAGCCCATGACCAACCTATGAGGACTCCACAGGGTATCAGCAACAGCCCTAATAATGATACTGTACACATCAATGTATTATAAAAATCTTAAACAAGATTAATAATTTCTCATTATAATGAACATAAAAAATAAATTAAATTCCATACTCACCAGTGGCTTCAGTTGGAACTTGTGTAAGGTTGACCACCGTCTGCTGCTGCTCCTAACACAACCCTACTCCTACACAGAGCCCAACTGGCTCTCCATCGTCTCCAGTAAAATGATCCTTGATAAAGTTGTCTCAGTTGTTGCTAATGAAGTGGTGCATCAGGCAAAAGCCCTTATCTTGTCTGTATTATTGAGAGTGGTTCCAATGGTTGACACAGCCAAACCCAAACTTTCATCAACATCAACCTGACACTCACCTCCCTCCATGACCCTTATGACCCATGTTTTTACATCCATGCTGATGCTTCTCCTTGACTGCTTGGCCACATAACCACCAAGGTTACTTGCAGGCCCTTTTCAAGACAATATATATAAAATTATGTTAAAAACAGACCATAGTCTTACAGAAGTGTTCAACCTGATAGAGACAGGTGATGCTTAGTTGAACACTTTCCAGTGTAAACCACTTTCATTATTTGGGTGAGCAGCTTAGAGAAAAGAATGCACTGTGTGTTGCATATCTTGCTCTGAACTTTTGAACACTTTTATATTTTAATTTGTTTTTCTTTTATAGTAAAAATTTCACCTGAACAATGAACATAATAATGAAACTGTATTCCAAGAAGCAGCATTCTATAAAGAGCTTTGTCTATACTGTACATGTGTAAAGCTTCATCACTGAGCTCGTGTAATGTTTGCTGACTAATTCTGTTAAATAAAACTCACAAGAAAATATAATAAAACACACTAAAACAGAAATCTATACAACAGTTTGTAGTCCAGCTATTTTGTTCATCCTAGACATGTGCTGTATTTGTAGGGTCTCACCACAGACCTGACTTTACTTTGTGATTATTCCAGAGTTACTTTTGTCAGCATAATTTACCAGAGGATCCCTAGTCCAGTCTTACAACATTCTGAATCTATAATTGTCCAGTAATTCCAAGTGATACTGTAGCACTGATAAAATTGACAGAGGTCATGTGCCAAACAATTTTCACTGTTGAAAGTTTAGTCCACAATTTACACAGGATACAATACTGTACTAAACTCAGGTTCAAATGCCCCTCTGTTTCCAAATTACCCCATCACCCCTTGGGGTGGAGGGAAGGAGGGATGTGAGTAAACCATACCATGCTCAATAAAAAAATCCAATATCAAGATCAATTACTATTTATAATTGATACAGTGGATTGGTCAGGTCATGTAACAGTGACAATAACCACTGTTAACAAAAGCCAACTGCTCCCATTAAACTATCAGGATGTAGCTAAAAAGCTGTAAAATCCTCTGAAGAAATCCTACTGGTATATGATGTAATCAAACAAGAAGAAGTACAGCAATATAGCCCCCGTCAGGAAATATTAAGTACAGCTGGGTTAACTTGAAGTGCCTGAGATCGAATCACCAACCCCTGGAACAGGAGGAGGGTGCTGCACAGTGTCCACTCGGCCACTGCACTCCTTTAAACTCCCTATGGTAACTTGTAAATCCCCATAGGAACCTTAGGCCAGATCTCAAATCTGGGATAAGGAAAGTCGATTTACATGTTGTAGACTATGCACCACTGGGAAGTGAAGATGCTTGACTGTCTGCCCACAAGTTAATAACCACTTCAGTTGTTTAATTAAATTAAAACTCTTGCAGCACAATAAATATACTCATTGGCATATAAATGCCTCAACCTGCAAGCAACCATTCTATCTTCATATACAGTAAGTATTCTGAAATAAAATAATAATAAGGCACGTAGCAGCTGAAAGCACAGAAATGACTATAATATGTCTGGTCAATAGGTTTAACTAAAAACTAAGGGGATGCCTGTTTTACAGTCTGTGTGGAGCATGAAGTTTATACACAGAAGCACAGCAGCAACACACTCTTGGCCTGTTGCAACTAACTCATCAGTGCTGCCCTCAGTTTCTGGGGTTGTAGTCGAGCAGGAAGAGACCCTATCTCTAGATTTCTATAACAAAGCCCAGCCACACAAATGAAGGGGGTCCTGACAACCCTGGAGCATCAGCCAACAAGCTCGTTGATGCAGCAGATGAGATGTCCAATCCACTACATCATTTATAAAAATTAATGTAAGTTTGAAAGTGAAGAGACCAAAGAGTTTAAAAGAGATTCAAGGAACAGGAAACAAATACAGTACATTCAATAAGGGTTAATAAAGCCTACTGATAATATGAGACACAAAGCTTCTAAGGAGAAATTTAACAAACAACATCAAAAACATACCAATAAGAATACAGTACTGTACAATACAGAGCAAGAATTCTCAGAAAGTAAAATAACATAAAGTTGTATGAATGTGCATTCATAGCAGCAGATACGATATTATATAATATATCCTTAAGAAAATTTTATCCATATACCTGTTCTGTAATTACAAATGGCAGTCACAGACATCAAGCACTTAAAGGCAAAATAAAATTACAAGAGTAAATTTACACTAATAAGCTTCTTCTCAAACTATGCTCATCTATTTAAGCCTCAGTTATAACTAAATCCCAAACCATTCTTTTTTTTCCTTACTTCAAAAACTAAATTCACTTATTCCCTGGTGTCCTCTTCTAATTAATTAAAACGAGTGTTTATGGACACCTTACTTCAGCTACACAGGTTTCTCTCCTTATCTAACAAACGTGTCCCTGGAAAGTTGTACGTATCTTCAAATTAAGTACAGTGTGGATAAACTGCTGTACACTGTATATAACCATCGACAGCCATCATATAACTGGTGATATGTTCTTATGGGGAAAACCTTTGCCTTAAGACTGATCAGAACTACACTAAAAAATGAACCAGACATACCCATTAAATATTGTCGTCATTTTAAGCTGTTCAAAGTCAAAATCAATGCATAAATATAGAAGCAAGAAATAAAATTTGATGGCAAATGTAGGGAAATACTACCAAGTGATTACCAGCTGATAGTCTCCCATCCTCCTCAAGGCCTGCAGTGTCATGTACTCTTGATTATAAATATTGTCACCATGTGGCTTCAGTAAACTGGAGGTAAGGAAGAATAAATGTACCACTTCTTTTGGAGGCTTAATATATCTGCTGGGTATCTCCTTTGATTATGTTATGGAGGTGTGGACAAATACCCATGACACACACACACAAAAACCTACACATAAAACAAACACAACATACACACACACAACACACAAATCATGTTTCATATTCTTGTAAACACTTTTTTCAAATTACTGTAAATTAAATATTTAGGTATCAACAAAAACAAACTATGACAACTGGATAATGATGACTGCAGTGAAACAAAAGCAAAAGAAGCTTTTTATATTTATTTTTTATCTAACCTGCTGCTATTACACACAAATATACAGTGGGGTGCCATGAGGATGTTTACCGTGATCAGTGCCTCCTTACTCACAATGTTGCGAGCGTCAACGTTGACTGAGGAAAGGAAGAGATTGTGAGCTCGAGTGTTGCCCCAGGACAGTGTGAGAGCTGCACTCGACTCCAAGTTCTCAAGCTGGCGCCACACAAACGCGTCACTTTCAACAGCCTCGTGTAGTGTTGCGACTGGTTGTTCTTCTTGTAATTTTATCGATGCCGGGTCTCTTGGGATCCACTTTAGCACTAAGCTCTCCAACTAAAAACAAGAGAGGGAGCATTAACTGCATTTAAGGATATACTCACACAAAATAGTATTAATACTGCTTGGACTCTCTTCCTAGACCCTAAACCATACACACAATCTTACCCATCAAGAAGACAAACACAAACACACACACACATGTATAAAATCAATTCTTCTATTCAAACTACATAATTTATTGGGCCCATTACGTGACCAACATCATCATCACCAATATTTTCCACACTTGTGGGGTAAGAAGCAATTACCTGATGGCAGGTCTCCATGCTTCACTGTCTCTTACAGCCTTTCTTGCCAAGTTCTTATCACTTGCCGGCATGTAATTTCTTACACCCTCTCCCATGTCAATCTTGGCCTATCCCTGGCTCTCTTCCCCAATACATTTAGAACTCCTGCATCTCTGGACCCAACTGGTCTCCATTCTCTCCACATACCCAAATCATCTCGGCCTATCTCTATGCAAAACTTTGCCCATACTCTCAATAAACAGCCACCCTATTAGTTTTGAGTAAGGTTTCCTATCTTTAAGTGACACATTGCACATCCACTTCACCATCCTCGTTTCAGCTCACTCAGGCCTGCTTAGGTCAACTTTAACCGCCAATGTTTCACTGCCATATTGCATCACACTTTTCTTACTGGTTGCATACTTCTTTCTTTTCACACAAAGGGAAGGTCCTCTTGCTGACAAAGTTAGTAACACCCTAAACTTCCCCCAGCCACTTCTAACTCAAACAACTTCGCTTCTTTCAGCACTGATCATGTCATCCAGCTCGCAGAACTTATTAGCACAGTCCAGTGATATATATCAAAGTTGTGTTTCTCGAAGCATTGCTAGGGCCACAAGATTACCTGAGCATACAAGACACTTAAAGAAAGCAACATCTTGCAATCTGACAACTATTCCACTGCATCTCTTGTGTACCCACCTCACACACTCACTCTATCAAATTATCCATTTATTAGATCCTGGTCACATGATAGGGCCCTGAGGCCTAAGGTGTCAACCACTACAGCTGCTGCTTAATACAGTTCCTCAATAATGACAAAGGTTATACAAATTAAGGTGTTAGATGCAGATATCCTTATCAGATATTATGGAAAAACACAACACACCATGAACATAACTGCCATATGAATAGAGAAAACAAGGTTGTAACAAAACCATAATTCTGGAGAGTGACAACAGAAGAGATTATTGAAGTTATAAACTCGTCTGAGATCTTATTGTGATAGGTACAGTCACCCATAAAAGTCCTGTCCCCTCTCCTCCTGAACCACGGACCCCGAGATTAAGACTCATGAATCTGAAGCAGTAGAAACTGATGCATTATTTTGTCTTTAAATGCTTCGTGTTCATGATTATGATCGTGGTTCAGGAGGAGAGGGGACAGGACTTTAATGGGTGACTGTACTATAATATACTGTAGTGTACTGTACTGTACAATGATTGGTTAAATCTATCTTGATTTACCAGAATTTGACTATCATGATCATGTTCACAACTGTTGGATATAAGATGCACACACAAAAATATGAACAAATGCACAAGTAGAAAAATTGCATCCTCTATTTCCCCTTTCCAGGATAATGAGGCACACACACACACATGCATTCCTACCTTCCCATCCATGATAAGGAGTGACAATAAAGGAACAACAAGTGCAAGAATATGTTATAAAAAAAAACCTTTTTGCTAATTAGCTACATCACCCAGGACTTTTCAGTCCAAGTTAATTGAACAAAAATACAGTACCTAGCTGCACAGCTACTACACATTTACCAAAAAGTCAACAAGAATTTTCATACCTTCTTTAAAACAGGACTTTTGCATGAATTTTCAAAGCTGGCCTCCTTCCATGAAGTAGCAAAGTTTCCCTTCCCTGTCTCTTCACCAGCCATGCTGAAGTCACCAAAGTTTCTAGTGTCACCTTGCCCACTGAATGCACCAAAATCCTCCTCTAAATCATGGGCTTGTGCACAGGTCAGATTTGATGAAGCACCCACTTTGTCATGTACAGCAAAATCACCAAACTCATCGTCGTCGTCGTCATCATCATCTACATTAGCACTATCAAGGTCACCAAATTCGCTGTCAGTAACTGCTACAGGAGCATTAAAGTCACCAAACTCATCATCCACATCTTCACAATATTCATCATCACCTATAATACCTGGCTGTAGAGTTTCCTCAGCTCCGTAAGTGCCATTCTCTACTTGTTCCCTAAGATCGGCAAAATCAAGGTCATCGTCTTCATTTGCTTTACTGAAATCCCCGAAATCTGATTCACCCTGACTATCAACTTTATCAAAATCACCAAAATCATCTACGCACAAGTCTTTTGAAACCAAGGGGTCATTTCCTGCCCCTCTTTGTAATGCATCACAATTAAACTCACTGTGATTTTCCTTTCCTGTTCTTCCTTCTATTCTCACTTCACTACTAACATCACCATCATAATGATAGGCACTTACATGGGACTTGGAATCTGTATAATTTTCAGATTCACTTTTGCTTTTAAAACTGTTATGTTCATGATCTGTCCACTCACTCTCACCTGTTTTGTGTGTTTCTACCTGTTCTTCTGCTTCTTTGCTTTGACTATCAACCTTTTCAGAGGAACACATAACTTCTTGAACAATATTCGACTTACTAACATCGATAAAATCATTCTTAGTTTTTTCAGAAACACTTGCAGATACATCATCTTTTTTGTCTGTAGACTTAGTTACAATATTTTCACTTTGTAAAGAGATACTTGGTGTTCTATCTCCAAAATTCAATACTTTATCTTGGGGAGTTCTGGATATTTGTGAACTATTTTCACTACAAATGCTGGTAGATAAAGGAACACTTTTAGGACTGGCACTCACTTTCTCACTAGAACTGTTTGAGTGCGAAGCATCTTGAGATGGATGATCAACGTTTTTATCGGCATTATTTTCTTTACTTGTATTAGTAACATCATCGTCAATATTTAAACTAATTGACAGATTTTCTTGCCTTTTTAATGAGGAACATTCCATAACCTTAACTGATTGTTGTAAGGTGACCTCCTCATTATTTGGTACAATTGAAATTTTTTCACATACAACACTCTCAGAGTAAGAGTACTTTCCATTGATGATTTCTGATATCTCATTAGATGTAAAATCCCCAAACTCATCATCATCATCATCAGCTGCTGCTCTATGATTTGGAGAAAACCGGGAGAATTCATCATCAACAGTCACACTGTTTGCTACATAATCAAGAGGTGGAGGAGTGCCTATCATGGAGAAACTGTTCCTTGGTGATCTTTTGCCACTGCCCTCAGGAGTCTCGGACACTGTAGGGAACACTTGACTAGAGAAGTTATCATTACCTTGATCTATATTTGGATCTGATGAATAAGTTGAGCATTCTGGTTCCTGGATTCTTGGAGGTTCATCACCAGCAGAGGTGAATGCTTGAAAGTTATTTAAGCCATCATCACCATCATTTTTAACAACACCTACACCATCTGTTCGCTCATTATTCACTTTAAAAACGGCAGTAACACAAGTTGAGAAATCACCAAATGAATGGTCATCTGCTTGGGGTTGTGGAGAAAATTCATTTGGATGATTTGAACTTCCTACTCCAGAATCTTGGCTAATTGTGTCATCCCTAATTCCCTCTAGGACTGCTGGTAAAATTTTCCCGGTTACATGTCCTAATGCAGGAAATTTAGAAGGACTGGTGTCAGGAGTAGGAGGTAGCTTATCGGATAATCCTGGAAGGGAAGAAAAAAATTTAGTTCAACCTATACAGTAATCAATTATTCATTCATAAAACAAAATGAGACCAAAATTCTCTGTTTACATGGTCAGTGTAAAATATCTTTATTCATTATTAATAAGCCATTCACAATACTGTACTACAAAAAACATGCTAATTCACCAATGCAAGCACAATGTTTTATAATGTCAGTTTATACAGCAATCATTTGCCAATTATGGGTTTACCAAATATGGTTTAGATTATTCTCCACTTTATATTTTATACTGTACATCGTTTTACCAACCACAGTACAGTATACTGTACAGTAATATGTCTCCTCGGGTTTCTTTGGCCACTGCAGGAGTTTCCAGCCCAGCATGCCAGCAATGTTCATTGGATCAGGTTTATGAGTACCTGTAGCTTGTACTGTTCCCCTCATTGTGTACAGTCCAATGCAGTATATATTCCTAGAACGGTAATTTGTTGTCATCTACCAGACCCAGGTCATCTGTCTTCCCTCGTCATCATCATTTTAAGGCCAACTTCCACACTTGAGTGGGTTCGCCATGGCTACCTGATGGCAGCTCTCCATGCTGTACGGTCTCTTGCAGTCTCTCTTGTCAGGTTCCCAACTCTGATATCATTTCTTACAATCTCTCCCCATGTCATTTTTGGCCTACCCCCTGGCCTGCCTTCCCTCTTTAAATATATTTGCTTATTTTCATCCAACTTAATATAGTAGTACAGTATCTTGAAACACCAGACTAACTGGGGCAGACCCCAGTCCAGTTGTTGTTATAATGTTATTAATGCACTTCAATAACCAAGGTCTTTAAATGCATAAGAAGGTTACTAAAACACTATTACATCAACAACAACAAAAAATATGAGACAGAACTCTCTGCATTGAAAATCAAACAAAGCCTAGTTGTTGACAACTGTTTTCACTGATATGAATGTTTCGTATTGTAAAGTGTTATATGCAAGTAACCACAGAATTTGCATTATGAATAAATAGAAAATGATATACAGTACCTGTACAGTACAGGGGGCCCCCAAAATTTGCGGGAGTTAGGTTCTCAAAATGGCCGCAAATCGCCAAATCCGGGAATAATATTTGCGCTTGTGTGTGTGTGTGTGTGTGTTACACTTTTTAACTTGTGTACAAAGAGATGTATTGTATATAACTTTTTTGTGTTTGCCTTTAGGAAAATTATTTCTTTTACCTGTATTGTATATATGTATGTGTGTGTGTGTGTGTGTGTGTGTGTGTAGAAACACACACACACAAGTCACATACAAATAAATAATAATTGGAAAATACTCTAACAATTAATCAGAAACAAATTTATTAGAAGTGTAAGTCTACCCTCAAGTCCGTGATTATTTCCTTATTAGTAAAGCACGGACTTGAGGCTAGACTGTCACTATCTTTAATAAATTTGTTTCTGATTACATACTCTACATAAAAAGTTCACATAAATATGTGCAGGTAGTGAGGTTCAGCACTGATATGATACATACGAAGGCAGGACTCAGAAGCCAGCCATATCATAATAAAGGTATGAAATTTATGAGCATCCACCAACCTGTGATATCAAATGAAGCATTGTGAGTTGAGAAGTTCCCAAATTCTTCATCATCATCCTCTTCTCCTGGGCAAGTCACAGTAGGAAGCGAGTCCAGGGGGGGCGGGGATGATGATAACCTTGGCGGAATCATCTGAAAGGCCATATCATCTTCCCACAACCTACAACAAATGACAACAAACATTAATAAAAACAAAACAAAAAATAATTTAAAATGCACAAAAACTTAAGTTATTCAATATGATGAATAAAAATGTTAATAAATTTGGAAATGGATAATGATTGAGATAAGAGGTAGACAAACAGAAGCAGCACCACACCACAAGGTTATTCCAGCAGAAGGCAGATGCACCCTGCACAAATTCCTAAAATACATTTGAAGAAAAAAGGCTTTACTGGACTCATTACCTGTTCCACAGCTTTCAAAAAAAACAAAAAACCTGCCAGTTGGAGTTCTGCTGTAGACAATCTTAACCAAAATAGAAAACTGATTTTGAAACCCAAAAGACCTTGAAATCATCACGGTAGTTAGAATTAATCTAAATTACCGGGGTGTTACTAAGTCTCCCCCAAATTATACCCTTAAAAAGGGTACTGACTGTACCTGGACACAAAGACTTTTCTCATACAGACAGTAGGGGACGAGGTCAGGTGAACAATGACCTCACAAAAGCAAATGCACATGTTGCCTCTCCCTGTATCATCTTTAGAGATCTTTCGACTTCAATGCCCATTCATTCCCATCAGATTTTTACACTGCCCCACAAGAGGGACACAGGGCTCTGACCCACCTAGCTCCACACTATGCTATAAAAAAGAATTTCAGAAACAATTTTTCATTTACAGCCAACAACTTTTCACAAGGCAGCTCAAGTACCTGAAACCAGCATGAAATTGGTAGAGATGGCAATACCAAATCCAAGTGCCATTGTGATGGTGCACCGTAGAGGGATTCTACTTCTAATCATTCACAGTAAAAGACAAGGATACTAACCTTACAAGCTTCCCAATGCCACACAGTCCACAGCAAAGTTTCCTAGTCTAAATAACAGTTCATGAATGCATGGACAAAGGACCAGACACTATTGCAAAACTGATATGATGAACAAACTTGGTACGTACTGCACCATCTACATACATTTACAGTATTATAAATAAATACTATGTAGAATGTGTTAAAATTTTATAAAAAATGTATAAGCAGTTAAAATATATGTATGCTTCAGCATTTACTTGCATAACCACATTTGAAGGTACACTTAGTTGGACCTGCTGGGGAGCCAATCAACAGAAAATAATTAGAGTGAAGAGAGAAAACATGAATTCCCTAACCCGATCAGACACAGTGGATGAGGTTGACTGGGGACACATGTTTGGTCTCTTATCTTACCCCACCTACATCCCAGGGAAACTCCACATACAGCGCCTAAAATGAGGTCACGGGCCTTGTAAGCGGTGTGAGGGAGGGAGTGGGGTTCATAAGCATCCAGTGACTTCCCTTGGAATAGACAAATGTAATAACAGTAGTACTGTAATCATGATTATAATTACATTTTAAGCACATTCAATTATGATGCAAAATAGAAGAAAGTACAGTAATTGATAACAATTACTTGCACAAGTGTCATCTATTACAATTGCACATTATGATTACTGTACCCCATAGTATCTACCTTGAGCCCCATGTGGTGATAATCTTCTCAGATCACACTACTGTACTAGGTCACTTGAGAGGCCCAGGTAAAAATACTGTAATCCCCCAAATCATGCTCTGTTTCCCCTCTAATAAAGGAAATTAGTAGTGTTCAAAATACTACAAGTAAAAATCTATTTGACATTTCAACACCAAAAAACAAAAACAGGCTCACAATAGGTGTCTACTGAGATCAATACTATACTAACTCTTTACAAACATGTTATGAAAAATTAAACAACTCAAACAGACAACCAGAAGGGAAGCCAATCACACAAAGGACTTTGTTGGCACTAATATCAAGTCACAAGACTGTTTACAAGACCAACTCTCACACTACCAGATATATAGTTAATCTATATGTTGACTATGTTTCTTATACAGTTAACCCTCACTTTACGCGGTTAATGTAACCCGGAGGGTCCCGCGTAAAGTGAGAAACGCGTAAAGTGAATAACATAACATATGGGATTAATTGAAATGGAGTCCGGGCCGATCCCCAAACTCCACTTTTTGACGACACACAACTATGTTGTAGTAAAAATATTATCTTAACTTTATGATGGTATGCACACACAATTAATAATTAAGAGAAATATCAATAATATTAGGTTTTTTACAACTTACATTAGTAGAAAAAATGGCTGGGCACACGGGGATGGGCGGTTGGTTCCGAGGCAGAGGGCAGATTATTGGCCCTCACCTGTGTCACTTGAATCAATTGTATCACTATCTACCACAGAGGCTTGCAGGGCCTCTTTGTCAAACTCCCCAAAGTCCATATAAGTCCATATCCTCACCATAATTATCACTATCACTGACTTGGGCCGGCTGTGGGGGTGGCGGGTGAAGAACTGGTAATGTTTTGATGACTGGGCGACCTTGTGCGCACCGCTTACACATTATGGCGGATGGCGGGAGGTTTGGATCCAAAAATGGCGCGGCTCGCCAGCCGCTCTCCGCGTAAAGGGGTACACGCACCGCGGAATGTGAGCATCCTGGGTTCCGGCAGGGCACCGCGTAAACGTGGAAACGCGGAATGTGGGACCGCGTAAAGTGAGGGTTAACTGTATTTTTTTTTACTGAAAACTTTTGTCAATCAAGTGACCCACTTCCTAATTTCACCATATGTACCTTACCATCTCTGTTTATTATATATTTTCAGCCTTCTGGCTGCCATGTTATCTTAATAAACTGTTAATTGAATCAAATGACCAAAAGAGTATTTCAAACATATCCACAAACTAAGGAACCATTTCAGCAAGGAGGGGAAATGACTCCTCAGAAGCCTTCAATTTATAAATACTGTACAATGGGAGTCAATGGGAAAAAATGTTTCATTAAAATATTTGCTTAAAGTTTTCAGGAACAACCCACTGAAAAATTGGAGTCAGCCTGTACAGATAAAAAAAGATTACCGGTAGCTACAGTAACTAGTAATAATACAGGAGAATTGTCATATTAAGTAACACACACATATACTACTGTATAAACCACACATACCAAAGATCCAAGTTAGTGTATAAGTTAGGTAATATATACAATAAATTAATAACAAAAAAGGAAACTAATGTACAAGAAAAACATAATTAACAATGAGCTTACATCACTTGTGGTGAGTGAGCCATGGCCCCTGGTGTGCCTCAAACATGGGGCTCACCTTTCACTGAAACAACATATGTAGTGATAATTCATTGATCTCAATAGCTACATCACCAATTGCCATATTGTGCATTATTTAGCACAAAAAATAAAAATTATAAACTAAAAGAAAATGCAGTACAATATACATACACGTAATCAAATTATCTAAATTCTGTGACATTTTGCCTGTTAAACCTTAGCAAATGCCTGCAAACATGAGTGTTAATCAGCCAGCAGAGACATTGCTGCTTCTATATCAAAGAAAATTAAAAGACTTTGCTCAGTGTAACTCCATTAAGTGTTGCTAGGATAAGGTGATGAATAATATGGGTGACTTCAGTGTTTGGAGCCAAGATCAGTCACTGGAACACGGTGACACTGATCACCCCAATACTGTGTTTATATTGTATTTCTTTGGTATTGTAAGTATTTATACAGTAAATGTAAATAGAAGGTTAATATTTAGAAGTTGCCAACACCTACAGTACTTATATAACTGATTGTTATACAGGGTATAGGGAGAAAAGAGAAAAAAAATAAAAGTAACTTATTCTATAACGTTTTCACCCAGAATTTAATTTTTTTTAGTATTTTAACAGATAAAATTACCCAAATATTAGTTGTTCAATGCGGGCAGGGCTTTGAAATAGCGGGAATGTCGGGTAAAAAGAGAAAAAAAGAAAAATTTAAAACCTAACCAAACCTTTCATAATTTGTAAAAATGTTATGAAATCACTTTTGAGTTTATGGATCCCTCCTCAACTGAACACCGAAAACAACACCATAACATAGTACTAAGCACCGAAAACACAAGGAAGGTAAACTTTTTTTTAGTTTTACAATTTTTAAAGGTTTTGTCAAGTTTTCAAAATTTGCTTAGTGTTTTTTTTAAGTATTTTACCCTACATTTCCCCTCTACTTCAAAGTCCTGCCCACTTGTAATTGGTAATATTGTTGGTAATTTCATGTTAAAATACTGCACTGTACTTGAAAAATATAAATTTCTGACAAAATGTTATAGAAATTTTATTTTATTTTTTAGTTTATTTTTTCTTTCTCCATATATAAGACTCAATATATAAGTGGTAATTATTAATGACTGACCTGCAGTCGATTTTTCATAGAAGATGATTATAAAAACGCCACAATTTCACTGTGTTTTACAGTGGACACTGTCGTGGTTTGTGAAAATGTGTTAAAAAGTGGTTATTTCTAAATTAAACATAACCTAACCTAAGTTGATGTGAAAACCAGCAGCAGAAGCATTGTTAGAAGACCTCACCAACCTAACCAAACATACCCACCTCACCTTAACTAACTTCCTAGCTGCCCCCCAGTACAGCCAATCCTCGACTTACGATGGGGTTAGGGACCCAAATCCAGGTCGTAAGTCGAATTGGTCGTAAGTCGAAAATGCAAAGATAATACATAGAAAATCTAAAATGGGTGTCTCTTTTTCTTCTCAGCACCACAAAACTCTCACTTTTAAGCATGCCAGCCATTTTAAAGGGAATTACAAACAAAAATTTTGTCGGTACACAGCGCAATCACTGATGTCGGGACTCGAAAATATGTAATTTGAAAATTTTTTTGTATGAATGGGGCAGTCGTAAGTCGAGGAGTAGCTGTATATTAAACAGAAAAAACTTAGGTTATTATTCGGCTTAGCACATCTTCAAAACACATAGAAGCACTTACTTTTAGGCAATTTCTACCTCATATATACATTCTTCAACCCTTGAAGCCTCTTGGAAACTTGTTTTTTTTCAGAAAAATCACACAAGTGAGGAACGCCTAATAAATTAGATAAATAAATCACCACCCGCCATTTCTTATCCTACCGTGAGCTGTCTGGAGCCGTGAGGCGTGATACACTGCCTCACAAATACTCTCTAGAGTTACGGAATAACCCCGCAGTGGTTAGGTAAGGTTAGGTTACGTTAAGGTAGGTTAATTTAGTGAAATTTAGAGGTCTAGATGTTTGGTTTCTGTTCTATTTGGATGTATTTTGTTCAGATCTCACCTTCGTTTTTGATGGAAAATAGCCGTTTTGGATCAAGGATGACTTGGATTTTTTTTTCAAAACGATGCATTTCTCATGGAAACGAAGGTCAGACCTGAACAAAATGCATCAGAAATCAAACATCACGTGAAAAAATTTGAGGGTGTGCTAAAACGAATAATTACCGAATGGTTCTGAAGCAGACACAAAGCATCGGTGTCCAGGCGGCGGAGTGTATTGAAGTACGCCAATATGATTGGCCATTTACATCCTAGGATGAGATGTCACCGCCGAGAAGACAAAGTATTGTGTGCCTAGGCTCCTAATTATCAACCAAACAACGCATTTGCACAAGAAGTAATTATCATATCAGTACTCACTGATGAAAGTAAAGTAAAAAAGTAAACAGTAAATAAAATAACTCGTCCGTGGATCAGTCGTTAATATTAACCATATAGGTAGCTGTTGGAAACTTCTAAATATTTACTGCCTAAACATTTACCGAGGAAAATACGAAGTACTACCAGTATAATAATTAGTTCGTGTGGTTCTTAATGGGTGGGAGAAATTGGGCAGTTCACTTTGCCTGTTATCAAAGATGTTCATGATAATAGAAATGGTCCCCCGACCCATTTCACTTAAACTACTAAATATTATGATAGTCAAATGTAGTGCTCATTTAACTTACAAACTAACGTGTAATATATACTCTGTTAACGTTAAGTATAACCTCACCTTCAGAAACTAATACATAAAATAAGAGAACATAATTTGTTACCTGCGACATAAAAGTTTGGTGAATTTTACAAACACAATTAAGATATTGGGTAATGTTTTCCAGACTTAACTGTCAAAATACTCATCAGCATCTTTCCCTTATTTTATTTCAGTACCGATTCTTCACAGTGCTGCACTATAATCACCACACACCAATCTTGCTGTTTTCAAAAATTATCAAAGCGATAAAGTGAAGCAAATAAAGGCAAAAGTAACGTACCGTAAAGCGAGAAACACAAGAGCCACCAACACAGTGTTACTGTTTGGTTCCTCTAGACAGCTGTTTTCTCCTCTGGTTCGTTCCTCCAGTTCCTTCCTCAATCAACCATGTAAAAATTATAATACGCCAACACTTTTTTCCCACTTGTATTATTTATATCTATATGTAATTGGAAATAATTTATACATATATAACACTGTAGTGGATATATGATACACTGGAAAGCGTACCTTTGCACTAAGGAACATTTTTGTATGACGCGCAACTTCGTACAATTTTTCAACCACTGGTGAAATATTAATCGAGCAGTGACATAACAAACGTGATATAATTATTTACATTCAGTGTATTATTATCATAATATCAGTGTCTTTGTTTACTCATTTTTCAGAGTTCATTTGAATCAAACCTTCAGTAATATGCAGAAACTCGGTGATATGCCTATCTTAATGGAAAACAGAGAATCCAATTTCAGACCCTAAATGGGCAGATGAGAGATAAATATAGTACAATTTGCACACACAAAAAATCAATTAAACTAGGATTGGAGGAACTACATTACGGTAATGCGTGTTTCTCTCGCGTCCCAAGCGGCTATCAAGCCGATCAGTGGCGAAGAGGATAAAAGAAAAGAAAAAATGATAACTTCCCGGGTTAATCCCTGGCCGGGGTCCTGTATCAGATGTGAGAAGGGTCTTATCCGGTGTTGCCCTACCAAACATGGCAGGCTTTCTCAGGGAACTTCAGCTTCCTCATTTACTAACACTGGACAAACAAGGTCGTAACAAAACAGATCAATTACTCGAACAACTAATAAGGTGATAATTGGTAGAAATGATAGGTGAATTAGGGTGTTACTCTGGATGAATTTGGTTTCAAAGGAATTGCATAAACAGAACTTATTGTTTAATCATGTTCCTATTTTTTGTCTCTAGGTATATCAATATACCCATGTGGTGGTTGTTCCTCGTTTCCGAGAAGGCGTGTTCAAAGAAAAAGATGGAGCAGCATCAAATCTGTTTGGGCGCCGTGAACATCCTCTTTTAGCATAGTTTGCAGTGTTGACAAATAACTTTGCTTGAACAGTCTCTGATAGTCTCGTGGAAAGATGTGACGACGGATTCTATCACAGGAGCGGATCCAGGAATAAAAAAAAATGGAGGGGGGGGGCCAAAGACGTTGCGGATGGGGGAGCCTGATGAGCACATTTTGTGCACTTATCAGGAGATATTCTGAAGTCAATGGTAATTACTTTTTATTTTACAAAAATGCCCGAGTACAATACTGCATTCTAGAAAAAGTACTGGGATTTTCTGATGAAAAGAGGGGGGGTGGGGAAGGGGAGCTCCGCCCTGTAGCAACACCTCTCCAAAGGAGCGTTGACTTAGACCTGCTTTAAAATGATGTCGAACTCGGTTAGCGCCAAGACTAAAGTACTGGAGAGTATATTATAACGCCTAAGATACTTAGCGACCTTTGGTATAATAATGGTTAGCAAGTGAGTGGACCCGGGTTCAATATCCGGGCAGGATGAAACTATCGGCAGGTTTCTTTATGCCATTTGCCTGTCTACCCAGCAGTAATTGGGAACCTGGATGTTAATCGATTTGCGGATCGTGTTCCAGGGTAATGGTTAACCAGTGCAGTTGGCGACTTGTCCAATCTTCGAGGACTATCCTTTGACACTGGGTCATGCAGGGTGTTGGTAACAGTTTCTACTCCTTAAACAATTCACGCCTAGGTGACCCTAGAGCCAGCCATCCTCGCAAACGAGGGGCAACCATTTTTTAGTCGCTTTTTACCATCAGGAGACACGATCCATGTTAAGTTACGTGTGATAAGTATATCTCATACCACCCCGTTGCTTTGGCTGTGTCAAACTATCCATTGCGTAGCTGTTAAACTTTCTATCTAAACTGAATAAGTGCTTGATTTTTTTTTTGAGATGCTGTAATGGATTTAATCCGATGGAGTACTTATGCATTCATGGAAAATAAAACACGGTATCGGGCAGTATTTAAATAAATCAGTGTTGAGTATCATATTATTATGTTGTTAACAGACCGATATAATCTATGTCGCATCCACATTTTAAAACTTCCTTATTGTGCTCAATTTTGACTAAAAACATTTTAGATGACAAAGTACATACTGTACATAAGTGCTAATACGTTCTTATAAAGCTAGTATTACTGAATCATCCACAAAAATGCCTTTGAATTTATGTACAAGTATACAGTACAGTACTGTATAGTATTCAGGTTTAGAAGACCGTACTCTGCCCATATTGTTTTGGTATAGAATTTATTTGACGCCGAATTGTAAAGAAATGGAGCCATTTCTCCAAATTGTTTAGCTCTTTGCAATATTTATTTCTTCATTTTCTAATGTGTGGAGGTTTACAGTAGTTCTCAACCTCATTCTCAGAGAAGTGGGGTAACGGGTCCAAGGGGGTAAGAATCCTTGAGCGAGCTGATGATGGTATAGTATTTGCGGACTGGGTGGCACCATATTGTTGCTTCTTCGAATGAGGTGCCTTTGGCTGCTCTGGAGTAACGAAAAACTTCTTTCTATTTCGTAAACACTTCTTGTAAACCTTTTCAATAATTAAAAAGAAGCTAGCAAGAATAAACCCGATCAGGAGGATGAGGAAAGCAGTGACTGTGTGAGTAAAGTCTAGATGAGTGAAGGGTTCCGGATCCTCGCAGGGGATCTTCCGACCCCACCAACGCCGCTCCAGACGGTCCAGCACTCCTCCATCAGTTAGGCGGGATATCCTGCCGCGGGAGACACAACACCTTCCTCACAATCAAACAAAGACATTTTTACCATGAAAAAGATTATGAGACACAAAGTCTATAAAAGGTATCAAATATTTCAGCATGTTATACAAATATTGACTAAACCGTACAGTATACTACAGTACAGAGGACAAAGACTTAAAATAAAAAGATTACGAGATGAATTAAACTCAGAATATTAAGGGTCGCTGGAGTCAATCAACAATGTGACATACTCGTAAGTATTAATTTCTAGATGAGATTATCCAAATTATGAAACCACAATTGAAGGCTACTTAATAAATTTGAATTATTATTCAAAAGTGATATAAAATATATATAGACGTAAATAAGATTATTGAACGTGGGAATTATATTGTATGTGAGAATCATATTATCTGACGAGAGGGAATTATTTTACCTAGTCTATAGTGATTGTCTCATTATTCAATACGATATTCATTACTGTATTCAGTCGTATTATCAACCATTTTCTCGGTCAGGAACAAGTGAGAGACGAGTTAAGTTGGCGGGGATTTCCTGCCAGACTGAAGTTAGCTGACTCACCATCTCTGACTCATCATCCCTGACACTCACTGTATGTACACTACCATACACAAGCCACACTATGGTAACTGAAGGCTTGCTAACACGTTCATACAACACTGATACTGTATATTAGAGTGTTACTGAAGACATTTTGGACAGCCTTATTTAACAATTAATATTTTTCCCTCAAAGGACGAATTTTCTATTATTGAAATTTATTCCAGTGATTTGTGAGCGAGACAACATCTTTTTATCAAGTTACGTTTCAGGACTCGTGAGTGCAATTTTGATTCATGTATTTATCTGATTTTATCTCTATTTATTCACTCATTTATCTCATTATAATTTGTCCACTGTCATTTACAAAATTTTTGACTTTAATAGAAAAAGTGAATTGCAAAACATAGTAGCTTAGGTTAGATTGGGTTTAAACTTGTTTAGTTTATGTTAGGTCCGGTTTTAACTTGGTTTGGTCAAGTTACGGAAAGTCAAGGTTTAACTTCTTTAGGTTACGTTGTCAGGCTTTAGTGGTTAGGTTAGGTCAGGTTTTAGCTTGGTTAGGTTAGGTCGGGTTTTAGCGTGGTTAGGTTAGGTCAGGTTTTAGCTTGGTTAGGTTAGGTCAGGTCAGGTTTCACTCGGGCAGGTTAGCTCAGGATTAAACTTGATTTAGGTAAGTTAGATAAGAATATGTTATCTTATACCGGTAAAAATCTAGAAGTTCCGGCGGCTAAGCATCAAGTAAGAACCGCTTAATAGTCAGGAAAAACAGTGTTTAATAAAGGGTGAGCGGGCGTACTCCATGTCGAGTATTCCGGCGAAGGGAAGGTTCTTAGCGTAACCCATGTGGCCGTAGCTGGGGAAGAGGTTGATGTCGATCTGCTTTACGGAGCAGTTTTTCCTGTACATATAAGTCATCAGCTGGTTGGTAGTGAGGAAGGCGTAGTTTTCAGTGAGGAGCCTGGCCACGCCCTCTTCCTCTGTGCTTACAGTTAGGTGCGGATGGTCCTTAAGACGCGTTGACAACACTGCGTAGTCACCTCCTTTGGCTTCCTGCAAACGACTTTATTTCAAGACTTATGCACCTGTTGTTTCACAGTATTTAATTAGGGAATAGAATTACTGATGCACAAATATTCACTTTCGGAGGCGAATTTGGGATGCCTACAAGTACAGTAGAGCTATGAAGCATTGATATCCAGATGAGAAACTGTATACACCTACAGTCTACAACTCTACATGCACTGTATGTCTACAGTGTTTATATTCATGCTAAACTGTTAACTTACAACTTGTTTCTGACTGGCCAACAAACAGATTTACTGGAGGTGCTTCCTGACGCAGTTATATTACAGTACCATAAGAAACTGTAGCAGCGGGGTTCCTCTCATGATGCCTATCTGCCAGGTGGGGTGGCTGGCGACGGCGGCGTTAAAGGTGGTGAAGGGAGGCGTCTTGGTGGATACGGTGAGGTAGGAGGTGAGGAGAGCCGTGTACGAGGTGTAGAGAATCACACACGAGAAGCAGAACAACCAGAACACCACACGACCTAGGTAGGTGGCTGGCATACTGGGCACTCCTGGGGTTAGTGAGGGTCAGTGGGTGGTGGCACTGATGGGGGTCAGCGCACAGGTAGTGGGAACTTTTGGGGGTCAGTGCAACAGGTGATCAGTGAGAGTGCAATACAAAAACATATCATCAAAGTAGCCTACTGAGGTAAGAATACTTCTGGTCAAGAGGTAGAGCTGATAGAAATATTGTATTAAATATCCTAATGTTGCTTGTAATAATATGTTGTAGACAGAGAATAAAGAGAGAATTACATTTCAGTTTACTACAGTACAAAGATTCAAATGGAGGAGTGATTGAAGGTAATATAACTGGTCTTTAATATATATTAGTTATAAACCCATTATGCAATGACAGAAAAATTAAATGTTATTAAATGTAGGATTGTTTTTTTTTTGTTATTTAATGAATTTTAGCAACAAATTAATTGGTCTTTTTTGTGGCTTCCTGTAAGACACGAATAAAACACTGGAAGACCCAGAAGATAAAAGTTGTGATAATAATGGAAAACTTAATGAACTTGTTAGAGTAAGATAAGACTTAATAGTAAAAAAAATAATAAACAGAGACTTGTGGTTGATATGACCATATACTCAAACTAACCATGTACAAACAATTGGTTTTACCCTTCATCATCTCATTTCAAGTTGACTGACAAACTGTCCTAAGCGTGTTATAGTGGACCATACCTTGTTGTACGATGCAGGAGAACAGCATGAAGAAGATGTCGGGGAGAGAGACCATGTCCCAGGGTACATGACGCTTGCTGCGATGGATGAGCCACAGCGCCAGTGTGGTGACCGCCAACAGACCCACCGTCCCCACCCATATTGATACGTCGAATGACAACACGTACGTCCCCCACCTACCACAACAACATAGTCATTTAAATAACAATAACAACATAGTCCCTTAACAACCACAGTACTATAGTACTTTAAAATCAAACATAAAAATCACAATAACCACAGCAACATAATAACATACACAACATAACCCTTTAACAACGAGTTCACAGTAATTTTGGCGCCACCTTCATCGATTCCCCAATGTGACACAACCCTCACCCACCATACATAATAACAGACTCACACTGTCGATGGTAAGTCACATAGCGGACACTTTTGTGATATGACATTATGGACAGAAAAGAGAATATTGTAGCTCGGCGTTTACATCACTAAGGGGTAAAATATTGTTCCTAGGATAAAAATGTTCAGGGATACTTCTTCTTCTATCCTCTCCACCACTGATCGACCCGTTAGCCGCTTGGGCGGTCGGTCACGTCTCTATTACGCACTGTTGGCAAGTACTGGGCATGTACTGGCTCCTGAATGTATCTGAACCTGCTACAGCGTTGGTCAAGTCTGGTCTTGAAAGAGCTCACACTCGGTGCCGTCACAACACTCCCTGTTCCAAGAGTTTACAATTCTCACTCCGAAAAAGTTTGCTCTAAAATATTTCGGGACTTGTGGATTCATGAACTTTGAGCTGTGAGCCCTTGTGGGTCACTCGACTTAGTACTGTAGTGCCCTTTGAGATATTTATAAACTTCAATTAGGTTATCCCTTGCCCGTCTGTAGAATAAGCTAAGCAGTTTCAGACGTTCTTATCACTCTGGGTAACTTTTTTTTGTGGGGGGTAACTAAGGTACTGCAGTGCATAACTATGGTTTAATGATACAGAAATTCACTCTCTTCTCTTGCTGTAACTTTGTTTTAGCTGTGAATTGTTTATAACCACAACTGGCTTTTGTGTGGCCTGGTAACTTGTTCCAGTCTTTTATAGCAGTAAAGAAGAAAGTGTTTTCGATTGACCGCGGGCATATTGATAAAATTTCGGTGATGAGGTTTGATATTTTTAAAGTAATAAATATTTAGATAAAGTTGATTGATGAGTGAATTAATCAAAGTATTTAATCCAGTCAGCGTCATTCTTTTGTAATTTTCCAACTCTCACCCACATCACTGCCGCCATACACACTCCCTCTCTTTATCCAACTTCCATACCTTGTTATCAATCAGCCTCCTCCTATCACATGTTTCTAATCTTAGGTCGTCAGTTTCCTTTGGTTCTCTTTCTCATTACATCTCCTCATAATAATTACTTCATAAGAGTTTTCCCTACATATCTCTCACTTGAGGTTGTCTCTTATTATTTCACACTAAGACAGTTTTTCCTACTTTATATAACTCAAGTTATTAACATTCTCATTAGCTCTATCAAACAAAGTTCATGAGTCATCTCCACCTCTTCCCTTACCCAATGTCAAACTGAATGGCGCTGTAGCGAATGTAGATCTGCCAGGCGAAGAGTTCGACATAAGATGAGAAGTCGATGTCTCTGAATCGTCCCTTTGAGATAGAGAGGCTGGCGAGGACGACGTCTGCCTCCTGAAGGTGAAAAATCCTTGTAGGGAACAGCCAAATATAATATTTACTTCTAGATAATTAACTCCTCAATTCAGCCACCTTCTTTCGTAAACAAACTTGATATGTATAAGAACTTGTTGAAAATAGACTAGACCCATAATGCCGCGTCCGCAGATCGGACAGCTACTAACCGATTAACATCAACACGAAATAGATTATGGACACTTTAGTTATAATGTTTTATGAGGTCTTGTTGCTGGGAATTGTTTGTTCATCTCTTCATTATGGACCTCACAGGGAGCTTACAGGCGTACTACTTGTTGGGGTAACCTCCTATTGAGGGAAAACTTCACACGGTGAGTATAAAACTTAGGGCAGCTACTCACCCCCCTGACGACCATGCCGACCAAGCCAGAGTAGTTGTCAGCGCTGCCCATCCCGAAGGTGTGCTGTTCTTCGTCCTTGGGGAGCACTATCTTGTACCTGCCGAACGGACGTCACACCTCAATGTGTTTTCGTCAGGTGGTAACGAGCGACAAGTACTGTACCGAGTCTACCATATGAGTTTGTGACCAACACAGGAAACACACAAGACGTCATCTGTGAACTATTTACTAGAGCACCGAAGCTAGATAATCGTGTAAGGGAAAACGGCTTCCTGACTAAACTATCAAAATGTAAATTCTAACTTATACGAAAAACAGTGAAGAAGTTCACTGATTAATGAAGAATGGAGAGAGAGAGATTATTTAAAGCTGTTGATTTTTTTCTTTCTTAATTTCCAATGGAGAAAAAGGCGCCATCTCTCTCTCTCTTCGTCTATCAGTAAAAGCAGCTCACAGATAGTTCAATCTCCTCTTACCTCTTAAATTCATCACTTACGTAAAATTGAGTTTGAAGGCGAGGGCGTTGAAGATATCCACGAGGTAACCCACATACACCACCTCGTTCAGTTGCCACCTGCAGGTAAAAGGTGGGTGTTAGGAGAGCAGTTGTTAGTGCAGGTGATGTTAGACACAGGTGATGTTAGACGCAGGTGATGTTAGACGCAGGTGATGTTAGATGCAGGTGATGTTAGACACAGGTGATGTTAGACGCAGGTGATGCTAGACGCAGGTGATGTTAGATGCAGGTGATGTTAGACGCAGGTGATGTTAGACGCAGGTGATGTTGGGCCTTGGGTGATGTTATGCAGGCTGTGGTGATGTTGAAATTGACGTGTTAGATCAGGTGATGTTGGGCACCCAGGTGATGTTAGACGCAGGTGATGTTAGACGCAGGTGATGTTAGATGCAGGTGATGTTGGGCAAAGTGATGTTTAGACGCGGGTGATGTTAGATGCAGGTGATGTTGAACGTAGAGCAGTGTGATGTTAGACGCAGGTGATGTTAGACGCAGGTGATGTTAGACGCAGGTGATGTTAGACGCAGGTGATGTTAGACGCAGGTGATGTTTGGCGCAGGTGATGTTTGGCGCAGGTGATGTTAGACGCAGGTGATGTTAGACGCAGGTGATGTTAGACGCAGGTGATGTTAGATGCAGGTGATGTTAGACGCAGGTGATGTTAGACGCAGGTGATGTTAGACGCAGGTGATGTTAGATGCAGGTGATGTTAGACGTAGGTGATGTTAGACGCAGGTGATGTTTGGCGCAGGTGATGTTAGACGCAGGTGATGTTAGACGCAGGTGATGTTAGACGCAGGTGATGTTAGACGCAGGTGATGTTATACGCAGTATAAGCTGTCTTATAACAAAGGTATAATTGACGTTTATAATTGGTGGTTGGAGGGAAGGTGTGCCAGGTACTGTATTGATTAAGGCCTGCCTCTAATGATGACCTGACGAAGATGTTGATGAGTGATGACCTGACGATGATTTTGATGATGACCTGAGGAGGGTGTTGATGATGATATGACAAAGGTGTTGATAATGACCCGACCTAACCAAACTAACCACACCTATCATTACCAAAATCTCAAAGACGAATAAAAAATAAATAAAATGGCGAAGACAAACATGGAAGGGAAATAGTGGCCACCAACCTTACCCAAGATATCATTGATCCAAGGAACTCTAAGGCAACGAACTAATATTAATTTCAAAATAATATTGATTAGGACGACTATGTGCTGAAATTTGAGTAAAATAATGATAATAATAAAATACATATAACACCGCCCCCTCACAAGGATGGTTGACTGTCGGTTAGAGGCGGGGTCATTGGGTCGAGTTTTTATGACCCAGCATTTGACCAGAACTGTTGGTAACTCTCGGTGTGTACTGGGACCCAACAACACCCAGTAGAAAATTAAAATAAAGAAGATACATATATAGCAAATAAGATAACGACGTGATAATATTGAATAAATAAATACTTCAACAGATGAAATAAAAATATTGTCACCTTCATATCAGTGACACGAGTCTTGTAAGCCTGCTGACGTCACACATGCAATCACTAATTTAAACACAAGTCAACTCTTTTATATAATATATTTCTGAGTTTTCTATATTCGTATGTTTTTCACAGTTGGTTATGAGCCCTGGCAGCCAGACAAATACATTGAGTTCTGTGTTTAAGAATTGTAATTTACTCACATGACCTAAGGTCATAGTACAAGGAGACTCACGGGGGTGGGCGGGGGTAGCAGTGGGGGTCGAAGCGGTAGCGTTGGTCTCTCTCCCAGAAGAGGCGAGACTGTGGGCACTCCTCCCCCTCCATGGTGTACGGCGGGTACTACGGCCACACACCAGTAGGAAATTGGTTTAATCATATTGAGAACATTTAAGCCAACTGTACACTAGATGCGTTATGTTATAGCTTAGTCAAGATGTTTTTGGCTCATGAGAGGAACACGGGTATTTGTGACTCTACTCAGAGGGGAACTGTGTCGACTGTCTACATAAGAATGGAGGAAACTACAGCCCAGCATGAACATACAGGGAAGGAGGCGAGATAGATGGTTTGGCCGTTGAAATTGAGGGGTCCTTGGCCGGGCGCGTGGACCAGGTGGAGGCGGGTGGTGGGGCGCCAGGTACCCAGGAGCTGCACCACACTCTCACTAGAGCTCCTGAAGGTAAACACTTCTTGAATCACCGCCTGCTGCGTCGCCTGCATCACAAAGGTCACAATGAGGAGCACGGCCATTAAGTTTTAAGAAGAAAACATCAGGTGTAAAAATGTCAATGGTCGGCAGATTAGTGTGGCTGAATAATTTTTTGTGTTTGAGGCGGTGTTAGTGATACTGTCATCAACATTATACTTATTCATGACGATAATGAGGAAGGCAGGGGATCACCTGAGTGTAGGAGGCGAGGATCCAGGAGGCCACACCGGGCTCCACCTTGTCAGTGAAGCTCAGGTTCCGCCCCAACACCACCTGGCTCACACTACCACCTGTCGACTTGTACCTCTGCACCACCTGCTGCACCGTCTGGGCCAAGTCGTCAGGGGAGGTGAGGTAAACTTCTGCGTGTTGGCGGGTCCAGCAGGAGCTATCTGGAGGGGTGGGATTGGGTTTCGCTCCTGGTGAAGTTGTGGGCGGGTGGAGAGACTGGGCGGAGCAGTAGCGAGGGGAAGTGGCGGGGACGTGGGCGTGACACCGGGAGACGAACACAAATCTGCGGGCCAGAGCTGATACCACCCGTCGCTCCACCTCCACACCTGTAATCATCTTTTATCACACATAGGTAGTAGGCAGCTACCAAACAGGGAGGTACTACCGCCTGGGAAGATATTGGAAGCATAATGTGTTGTGTAATGGTGGACCCTGCTGCTATATGGCATCACAAAAATTGTGACCAAGTCCCAGGTTGCTGATCTGACTTTCTGTCTCATTTACACACAATTGCAGGTTTCAATTGTTTCTCTTATTTTGACAACACAACAAACATACTGTACTGTATATCGTTTCTCACTCTTGATTTCTTTTTAACTTTCGTATTTATTTATGGTTATTATTATTATTATTTTATTTTTATTATAATTTTTAGTAATTATTATTATTATATTTTCGCCCCCCAGGCCCTGATGTGGGTCAGTGACCTGTGCCCTGGTGGGCTAATGCCCGTGAAAAAATAAAAAAATAAAAAATAAGACAACAACAAGAAAGTGCTGTACTGTAAATAGGAATAACAATAATAGTGGCACCATTTAAAACTACTGACCTTGGAGCCGATTGAAACACACAGACACCACGCTGACATGCAGAGTCCTGGTCAAGTCAGCGATGAACTCTCCCAGGTTCTGAAGGTCTTGAGAGGTCAGCTCCATGTTGGAGGTGACCTGGGCTGACTGGCTCATCCCTGGCATTAGTGACGTCACACCCAGGTAAACAACCCAGCAGGGAATACTCTTCATCCTGACGGCGGCGAAGATCTCCTGTATTTATGATTTTCCTTCAGTGATTTTCCTGGAAACAAATAACATTTTAAATAAATAATTCTCCTGAAAAATAATAATAATAAAATCGACAGACAGAGACGTTACAGCCACCGAGTTTACACAGACTTAAACAACACACTATGGCTCAAACTTGGTGATTCCCCCTTCCGGCCTGCTGAGTATGGAGAACTGAAGGAATTAAGTAAGTTAAGATCTATTCTCAAAGACACCAAGACAGACTAAAGGTGATGACACATACTACCCCCCAAAGTGATGGCAGTGTTCTTAAATTAATGAAACAAGGTGTACAGCGTGTTAGGTTCCCATACACCGTCTACATCGACCCAGGCAGCACGCCGGTTCAATTGTTTTATTAATGTGTCAAGACTTGTTGTCTAGTAACGGTAAGTCACAGCTACACTACGTCACTAAATTAATTTGTATTTCAGTGACTCGCTACAATATGTTGATAATAATTAACTAATGTTGATACTGAATTTAGGTACTCAAGGGGTTGTTTTGTTACTCAAGCTGTAAAGTCATGCTACATTTGTTACTTAACCCTGAGAGCATCTTGTAATAAGCCACGTTAGAGAATTGAATAAAGTAGTGCGGATTATTTTTGTTTGTCGGTTCACGGCATCATCACCCGCTCCGCAATGTTTCCATGTTGTTCCTAGAATTTCCTCCACTTGATGTCCATTATTATCAGTCACCAATCTATTCCTGCCCACATAACACCCTCCACTTCACCGGTCCCCCCTCTCCCCTTGTGGCTTCGTCTTGAATAATTCCCGCGCGTCGTTCATCTATCAAGGTATCACTCCTTACACCTGCCCACCACACCGAAAAATTACTTAATGGCGGTAATGATTTCAGAATAATGTGTGTCTGTGTGTGGATATACATGTAGATCAATATAAGCCACAACGAGTACATCCGAACTCTTACTCCACTCGGATACTATCAGTGTGACCAGAATGACGCTAACTGAAAGCTTCTTGGAAATCACGACAATAAGACAATAAATGGTAACAGATGTATGATAATGAACCAATAAACGGTAACAGATGTATGATAATGAACCAATAAACGGTAACAGATGTATGATAATGAACCAATAAACGGTAACATGTATGATGATACAAGAAACGGTAACAGATGTATGATAATGAGACAATAAACGGTAACCGATGTATAATAATGAACCAATAAACGGTAACAGATGTATGATAATGAACCAATAAACGGTAACAGATGTATGATAATGAACCAATAAACGGTAACAAATGTATGATAATGAACCAATAAACGGTAACATATGTATGATCATGAACTAATAAACGGTAACAGATGTATGATAATGAACCAAAAAACGGTAACAGATGTATGATAATGAGACAATAAATGGTAACAGATGTATGATAATGAACCAATAAACAGTAACCGATGTATGATAATGAACCAATAAACGGTAACAGATGTATGATAATGAGACAATAAACAGTAACCGATGTACGATAATGAGATAATAAACGGTAACAAATGTACGATAGATAATTAGACAATAAACGGTAATAGATATACGATAATGAGAAAATAACGGTAACAGATGTACGACAATGAGGCAATAAACGGTAATAGCTGTACGATAATGAGAATAAATAATGATTGATGTACGA